CAATGGCATGAACATGTACGCCAGGAGCGAGGCCGGAGGCGAGTCGCCAACCGCCGCCAACATCGACGAGGGCGTTCTCTCTGAGCATTACGTTGCCCTGAGGGTTTTCCTCACTTCACGCGATCCAAACGCCAAGCAGCAGCCCAACAAGGCCCGCGACAAGTTGCTACGACTTTCCCCCGTCCAATTCTTTGAACTCAGTACCGATGTCTACGACGAATTGGTGCGCCGCCAGGCCGCAGCGCGCATTCCGCCAAATGCGCCCAACATGCCGCCAGCCTTTCTGCTACCAGAGAAGACGTTCCACCCCAAGCGAAACCAGGCCCGTCAAAGGCTGTCGTCACTGGGACCTCCTCGATTCCGAGATCTTGCCGCCGATGTGTTCCACGAACTGGAGCGCAGATTTCCGCAGTTCGTGGGCAACGACATCCCACGGGGTGGAAGCTCCATGTCCAATAGAGGCGGCCCAATGAATCGCACAGGGACTCCCGTCAACGGCGAATACCCACCCAGGTCACAGAGTCGCATGCGAAGGCCGTCCAATGCCAGCTCGATTCGAGGGCCACCGCCCATTGACCCATATGGCGTCCCTCCATCGCCCAGCATTCCCAATGGCAACTACGCTCGGCCAATGCCGCGACATCCCACACAAAACAACACCATCGTTCCCAATAAAAGTACAATGATAGAAGAAGACGACGATGGTGCTGACGCATACGGAGGCGCAGATGGCCCTGATAATGGAGAAGTGAGTTTCTTCTTTTATTATTCAACTTGTGATGATGCGGTCCATGGTCTAGATTTCTAACTCATAATAGGCGGAAAAGAAGATTATTGAAGAATACGAGGCGCAAGTGAAAGATTTAAACTCCAAGATTTCAAGCATGGAAGAAGAAATAAAGAAAAAAGAAGAGGAAATGAGCAGTCTGCGTGATAACCACCAGTCACAGGCTGCGGCAAAGGACGAAGAGAAGCAGGAGTTGGCAGATGCCCGCTCAGACCTCGAAGGAAAACTCACAGAGGCAGAAAAGCTCAGCATCTCGCTCAAGCAAGAACTGGAGCGCATGCGCGAAGAACATGAGCAAGAGACCAAACAACTTCGGGAACAAGTTCGACAAAGCGTTAGCATGATGTCTTCTACGAGTGTAAACGAGGATTTGCAGCGAGAGAATGACGAATTGCGACACTCTCTGCAGCAGCAACAACAAGTAACGGAAGAAGTGCGAGCTGAAGCACAGGAGTTTCTGCGCGAGATGCGGCAGCTTTCTCAGCAAAGCGGTTCCACATACGAGAAACAGGCGGCGCTTGAGAAGACCATCGAGCAGCTCGAGAATGAGGTTCGAGATTGGAGAGAGCGCTACGCAAAAACCAAGACTCAGATCAGGAGCCTGCGAGGTTCTTCCGCCGGGTTCAGCGTGGATGGAGATTCCATCAAGCTACCGAGCGACAATACTCTGCTGGATGAGAATGGACGAGTCAGGGATGTCCACGTTACCAAATACCAAATGGCCATCGACGAACTCTTGCAAAAGGTCCGCGATGATCATCCGGAAAACGTCATTGATGCCATGAAAGGGGTCGTAGTCAGCGTCCGACGAATTACGAGAGACTTGGACGAGTCCGCGCCCCGTGGAAATGAGGCAGCTCAGCAGCAACAGGGAAAGCTCCGGGCCCGGATTTCTGCCACCGCAAATCACCTGATTACCGTCTCCAAGAGCTTTGCTGCAAGCTCTGGTATTACACCAATCTCTCTTGTTGATGCAGCGGCGTCACATCTCACAGTCGCCATTGTTGAGATTCTCCGAGCTGCCAAAATCCGACCAACCCCTGCCGAAGAGCTGGAGGATGAGGAGGACGGAAACGCAACGCCCATCGACTCCAGCGGCTTCTTCTCCCCGCGCAGTGTTGCTCGAGGCTCAACCACCCACGAGGGTCTGCCTCCAGCTCCTGCTTTCAAAAACCTTGCCAACATCAGAGCGAGCATCGAATCTTCGGCCTATAGCCCCGTCAACTCTCCTCGGACATCCATGGATGCGTATGCAAATGGGGCGCCCAACGGACACGGCGAGGAGCATCACGACGGCCAAATCGAAGGTCTGAAGGTACGGGTTTAGGGCGACGCCTAGTTTTGCAAAAGCAAAGAAAAACCAAAATACGACCCACAGGATGACTGACGATGGCCCAGACGTACCTTGAAGATCAAAACGCCCTGTTAATACCCGATATCCATAATGTGGTCAACTGTGCCCGCGCGGACGGTGATATCCGCCAAATCTCTACGCACATTGGCTCCGTCAATGGCATCGTGAGTAACATTGTCTCGGAAACACAGAAATACGGACGTGGCAACCTAGTAGTTCGCCTAAGCGACTGCCGAGACCGCCTTATCGAAGCCAACCGTCGAGGCCAGGAAATGGCAGATGCGGAAGTCGAAGAAAAGGAATGGAAATCTTGGACCCAGGCACTGCCACCGATTGCTTTTGAGATTGCCCGGGAAGCCATGGAACTTGTTGAGACTGTGGAGGAGCTGGCAGCGGCGTCACAAGACGCAGATGAGTTTTCATGAGGTTGACAAGCTGTCATTAATCATTAATTCAAAATATATGGCTTTTTTTTATGGAGGAGAGGCAGGAAGGAGTCCCTTGAAATTTCAAGGATCATGGGCGAGTTTCCCCAATGGTGTTATACTAGATGCTTCCCTTTTTTCGATCTTGGCGTCACTCCTCCCCGTGTTCTTTTTCTTTCTTTCTTTGGGGGCGGGAGGAGTCTCAATACCCCTTGTGTATATGTTTCTTGACAGCAAAGCTTTGTTTGTTGTTTCCTTTTTATTCCACATGATATGGAATGGCTTGTTGCCAGGTTTTACCGGGGTTGCGGGAAAGAAATGCCCTGACGAAGTTATGCAGTCAGGAGAAATGTGCCGTTCTGGCTTTTGCGATATAAGATGGAAGATGAAAGCATCGCCGTGCGGGTGGAGGGGGCTGGACAGAGCATTGTTTTTGTGCGATGGAGGGGAATTAGGTTTTCTGGCCTGTATACAGAGAGAAAGAGTAAATACCACGACGAATTGAAAGCTGGTTTTGTTTCCTGATAATAGTTTTGCCTCTTCTTGATCATGTTTCCGCTAGTAGTATATCGTTGATGAAGGAGCCAGGGGCAACATGTGCCAGGATTCCTTCTATAAGCCCTTTGAGGATCTCGCAAGATGCCCAACGCATAAATCTAAATCAGCCTACACGGACATCGTCACCCACACCGGCTCTGCTACTTAGGAGTCGGAGTCCATGATTGCGGTTGTAAATTACCTCTGAACAACACACCGCCCGGCTGGCCGTTCTGCCGAAGCATAAATATCGATCCTCGCACCTGCAGCATTCACGATCTTCTCTTTCCTTTTTTTTTTTTTTTTTTTTTTTCTTCTTCTGTAGCAAGCAACCTTCATCCACTCGCCCATTCTTATTCCAGTCGTTGCTTGCTGCTTCCACTTGACAAATAATATTCCACTCACGTTGCTTTTCTGTTCTTACTCAACGAGTAATATCGCCTTAGCTCGAGCAACTATAGTAGCATTATGGCTGGTTTTGTCCGCAACGTCGAGATCCACCTCCCGCCGTTGCCACTTACTGTAAATCAAGTCAATCAGGTCCTCGTTCAAGACCATCACACCACTGCCCGCGGTGCTACCAAACACGTCCAACACAAGAACGGAGTTGCCGCCGTGAAAGCCTATCACAAACAGGCAACTAATATAAATCTAAATAAATAGACAGAGTACATTAATAACATCGACAAGGGATAGTTTACTCGTTAAGCCAAGCGCCGCCACGAAGCCTTCGAACTACCGAGCATATAGGAATAACGTCGAACTATACTCTAAGACGAAATGGGTTCTGTTAAACGCGCTCTACCCCGGAAAGCTCTTATAGCATTAACAAGAGGCAACGAACAGATTCACCAACCACATTATTTCTGATTTTAGTGCAAATTACTTCGAGCACCACCCTTGTCCGAGTCGCAACCGAGCTCGCCCCCGAGCTCGCACGGAGCTGCCTTCTGTGAGCCCTGAACCCTGAACTCTTTGATCACTGGGACTGGCTTCGTTCGCCTTCTTTGCCGACTGTGCCTCTTCCCGCAGCCAGTCTGTCTGCCACCGACAACAAGCAGCAACCTGCCACGAGTCTGACTCTTCCCCTGGCATTGTCCTTGGTGATAGGTATAAGCAGCCAAGCGGATGACAGAAAAAGCAAGACCGCAAAATGGATACGTATATACATTCAGTAATATAAGCACCTAACCACCTTGTAGAACACCTATTCAGCCAGCAGCCGAACTTTATTATATAAATATTATAGCAGTTATTAATATATATATATAGTAGCAGTTATTAATATATATATATATAGTAGCAGTTACTAGAGAAATATAGATATAATAGGGAAATGTAGATATAGTAGGGAAATGCAGATATAGTAGGGAAATGTAGATATAGCAGTAGGCGTATGGTTCACCTCTTCCCGGTCTCGTTTTTTCTGTCCTCCGCTTGGTAGCCCAGGTAATTTTAGTGCTGCTGCTGACTACGAGATAGCACAGTAAAGGCCCAATTAACTTGACTGAAATTCCATCTCATCTACTCTGCGTCTGTACACCGATTAATGCACGTCGCACAGTCCGGCCTAGGAACCAGCAAGAAAAATCTCAGGCTGGGGAGTGGATAGTGTACCAGATCATGTAGCACAGATTTCACCTCCATTGTCTTTTCCCGCAGTGCTACTCAAGCTACTGTACTGGTATAACTCGCCCAGATCCCTGGACGGATCCCCCGCGTCACGAGAACGGGATCTCATCCTAGAAGGGCAACTAATCCCTGTTCCCGCTCTGGTGGGATGTGGACGGGACGCAACCAGACATTGGCTCGAAAGTAATGGCGCGTCCACTAAACAAGCAAAAAAGATCAAAGGCAAATGCAGCAAATTGTGAGCAGCACAAAGCATACAAGTCACAGCTAGGCCCCATTGGGTGCGTTGGTGAACGGATTGGCAAAGGCGAGTTGCCGGATTCGGCTTCTGCTGATGTGCAGCATTTGCGCTACGCCTGACCGAGTACATACACACGGTCTTGCTTTTTCTTGTGTGACAATGAATTTCGTCTCGTGAACGGCTTGCGGTGTTGGTTCCCATGGCCATAGCCATATTCTCGAGAGTCATTTCCACCTCCGGGCTTCCCCAGCAATGCCGACGCAGGTACATCCAGAAAAGGCAGCCGCAACAGGTGAACGCAGGTACCCTTTCTAACACCGTCGGCAAAAATGAAAACGCCCCCAAAGAGCTATTGCCACCACCACCTGTTTTTTTCTGCCTGGTTCTTCTTTTTTTTTTTTCCTCCCCCATGGGCGTTGCTTGTGCTCAAACTCTCTTTCCCCCAATTCCCTCTCCTTTGTACCGATACCCTTGGTCGGCCCGGATTTCCCACTTGCTCCTCGACGTCAGCGTGGTAGCTGGTACCTGCCTTAGTCGTGCGTTGGAAGTTCGAAAATTTTGCGATTTGATTCCATGCTTGGGGGCTTTCTTCATCTTTTCGCTGACGCTTCGACTTGCTTTTCTACAAATCCTACATACTAAAGTAACGTCCTTTATTCCATCGTCCTCGAGAGAGACATCACGCCCTTCGTCTTATTCGTCTTGTTCTTCCTCCTCCCCCCCTTTTTTTTGGCATTTTCCTCCCTCAAAACGACGAGGCAGACTCCAAAGCGACAACCCGTCTCCTCTGCTTTCGATTGGATTCCCTCCGCCGTGTTTGTTGGACGCAGCTAGCCGCATCTCGTGGGGCGGAAACCTTCTCTGAGGGCGGACTGTTTCAGAGCGAACAGCATCTTTTCTCTCCATTGCTGTGGTTCCGATCATTTTCGGCAAGCTGGGCGAGCAGCACAACCAACAGCACGTTTCAGCCTCTTCATTCCTGGCCGACCCGAGGCCTTTTCTTTGAACGGCGATTTTTTTGCGTCTGTAGCCGTCTTCCGTCGGAGTCCCCGAGAAACCCTGCCGCCCGCCTTATATCCTGGCCACACACACATCCAGTCGTTGCAGGGCACGCTGTGGGTACTTTGCGCCGTGCGATGGAGGCAGAGCCTCGCTGCGAGACCATTTACACGACCAACAAGGTGTCTATTATAGGCGCCAAAGGCCGCCTGGAGGAGAGCCCTGCGCAGATGGATGCCCCTCTGCATTCTCCTGCGCCGTCGTCATGTGCGCCTCCTGAGAGGGGCGCCGAGCGCGCTGCTCAAGATGTGGCAGAAGAGTGTCCACCACAAGGCGACAGTTCAAATACTGAGCCCGTCGCTCAACAAACTGAGGCTGCGCAAGAGCAGCTTCCTACGTCCTTCGACAGCCTTACATCGAAAAACTGCGCACCTGAAGCAATAATGGCTGCAACCCTAACCCTGGAGGAAATACCTCTTCCAACACTGGATGCAGTGGAGGAACCAGCGCAAACTGTAGCTTCGCAGCTGCAAGATGAGAACCCAAAATCGATTGAAGGATTCCCTTCTCCAGTGCCGGTGCCAGAGCTTCTACCCGAAGATGAAATTGATTTGGTCAGATTTTGTAGCTCATCGGAGCGCTACAGCTCTCCAACTACAAGAAGTAGTCGGGCCAGTTCGCCTCTGAGCGAGCCAGATACGCATGGAATCGCATACTCATATGACGGCCCCGTTGGCCATCAAGTGCTACATATCCGACCGACACCTGAGCAGTGGGCCGATTTCCCTGCTCTTCTCTCTTTCGCCCGAAGCCTTCACGCCGAGCTAGACGGATGCTTCAAAATCGTGCTTCCGGAAGAGCTCCAAGAGCCACTCCCAGAGAAAACATCCCAGTTTGCCCCTGCCAATGCCTACAGAATACGGCAGATCAATCACAGGACGTTTTGGCAGGTCAGCACCGTACCGAGTGATGGCTCCTTTTCCTCTTCGGAGCCAGATGGCGAGCTGTCGGGTAGCGTCGAGGAGAAGTTCAAAAAGCTCAAGACGCTCTTTAATAAGAGCAAGGATAGGCAGATGCGGAATGTGCGATACCGAGTCGATGTCCCCGCGTGGACTGCCAAGCAGAGACTGGAAGCTGGAGTACCAGAACGAAGCCCCATTCATCCTTTGGCAGGCGATAAATTGGACAAAACAAAGGCCATTATTCCGGGAATACACACGCCCTACGTGTACGAATCCGCTCAGCACTTTGGCGCAACGTTCCAGCTCCACGCCGAAGACTTTCGCTTGTCGTCTCTGAATCATTTATACAAGGGCCGCAAGATATGGATTGTGGTTCCTTCCACTGCTGTTGATATTGCGGAGGAGGCATTGAATAGGAAAGGAAAGTGCTCGCAGTTTATGCGTCACAGAGCCGAGTTTTTCTTCCCTGAGAAGCTCAAGAAAATGGGCATACCATATCGAATCGTGGACCAACGACCAGGAGAGACGATTGTCATTTTGCCGGATGCTTATCATGAAGGGTTCAGCACAGGATACACCTTGGCTGAGGCCAAGAACTATGCAGATCCGGACTGGACAGCGGACACTTATCAACCATGCGAGTTGAGTTGCCAACTGTTAACGGCGATACCCGCCGACTATATGCGACCTTTGCGAGAGGGAGAGGACAGACTGGATCTGTGTGCTGGCTATAACGTAGTCAGTGGCGACCAAAAGCAACTACCTCAGCAGCCCGTGGGAGAAGCACAGTTGAATGAGTCTGTGTCACTGGATATACAGTCTAGTCAAACGCTCAAACGACCCATGGAGAACGCTATTTCGGACGAAATAATTGCCAAATTTCCCAGACTCGAGTAAAAGTCTATTTTCTATTATACCTGCAGACGATTTAAGGGTTTTGATGTTGACGGCCTCTTCTGAAGGGATGTTGGGCCCTATTTTGTTTCCCTACCTGAAACATTTTGGGCTCTTTATTCACATACATGACATGACATGGTAATGAGAAAAGCAAAGGGGCATCTCTTGGGTGGAAAAGGGAGAAACTGAAAGTGAAGCAGTGAATTGATTTAAGGAGTAATTCGGGTCACGACATTTGGGAAATACAGCGTTGGTTTGGGTGGTGGAGTTTCTTCGGAATGGACATAGATGGATGGTTGGCGTTGGATTTAGTGGGAGAATCACGATTCTCTCTTTTTTGTTTTTAAATACCATTTTTCTTTTTTGAGCAGCATATCTTGAACTAGGATGATATACTAGGACAGGACATGGAGATGGAGATGAGCATGACAAAAGTGCTTAATTAAGATGATGTATTCATATTTTTCTTCTACATCTCCTTTTCATCTTCTCCTTCTCTTCTTTCTACTTCTTCCCTCTACTCCTCTTTCTTCGTTAATGCATTAGTTTCGTAATGAAATCCATCCACGTAGAATAATTATATAAGCAAGACATGTAACCCAACGTTATGCTTCATAGATTCATGTATCAATCACATCCTCAGGACCGCCAGGATCACAGAGTTTCACACTTCACGTCGTTCCGTATCGTCTCCTCTCTCATTTTAGAATCCTCCGTGTCTCTCCTGATTCTGTCGAGCCATCTCATCCCGGAACGCATTCCTCGAGCCCGTAGTGTTCTGGTGCTCAAAGTTCTCGTGAATGGGCGTTCCAGCCAGACTACCCAGGGCCTCGCTATCACGGCGGTTGGGGAGCGGCGCATCATGGTACTCGTCACCGAGGTGGTCGTCGGCGTTGTGCAGCTGAATGCTGCCAGCATCCTTGTGAGAGCGGAAAATGTTGTTGCGGCGAGTCTTGCGGCCGCTATAACCGTGGCGAGAGCGGCTCATGATGTTGCCGAGCTCGATGCGGCGGGCCTTGCGGTTCCACAGGAAGAGGCCGACGACGATGAAGACGATGCAGCCGAAGGCGACGGGCAGGGCGATGGACAGGGTCTTACCCTTGGGCACCTGGGGTTCCGGGTTCTGGGGCAGGCCGGGGGGCGCAAAGGCCACGGGCAGGGCGATTGAGGAGTTCTTGTCGTTTGTGCCGCGGGGGGCGGCGAGGAGGGTGATTGTGATGTTGTTGAGCTTCTCGCCCTGGAGCATATCGGTCTTGACCTCGAGGGGCCAGAAGCCCCAGGAGGCGGGCACGCGCTGGTCGTCGAAGGTCTTGAGCTTGACCCATTCGTTGCTGGTGCGGTTGAGGTAGTCTAGGCGGACGGTGATTTCGTAGGTGGAGTTTGACTTGGGGACTGACGTCTTGTTGTAATAGTCAGGGTCCCAGGTAACTGGTTGATAGATGGTCAATTAGTCCATCTGTCTTTTGTCTCCTATACCAATTGTTCCATGCAATTTCAAACTCACTGTAGTAGATGTTGCCCGTCGTCAGCGTGCTGTTCTTGTAAGGCGTGCAAAACGGAGCGTCCTCGCCGTCCTTGTTGTAGCAGCGCGAAAAGACGCCGTCCTGGTTCTTGGACGTGGCGGTGGGATTCGGGGGCAGACCCGTGCTGGTGAAGATGTCGCCCCAGCTGGTCCAGGTGAAGACGGAGGCGGTGATGTCGTGCGGCGCGACGTCGACCAGCGTGGGCGTGCCGCTGACGGTGGTCATCTTGGGCGTGACGGTCTTGACGGGCGTGCCCTCGTCGCCGACGGTGACCCAGGGAGCGGTTGGGTCTGCTCGAGGCTGGAGGTGGTTTGCGCGACGATGCATCTCCAATTGAGGCTCGGGGGTGGCCTTGGGCATTGCGGTGGCGGAACCGCAGAGGGCGGCTGCGGCGCCGAGGATCGCGATGGCGTGCATTGTGGTGTTTTGATGCTTCTTCTTTCTCTTCTCTTTTTCAAAATACGAGCATGAAATTCAAAACTTCAACTTGTAGACGCGTCGAGAGATGGTGTGGGCCGAGACAAGGAGAGATTATTCGTCTCGCGCCGTCCAGCTAACGAATGTGATACAATTCAATTGCAGCAAAGACGCAACAAAAAAAGAGAGAAGAAAAGAGGGCGAGATATAGGGAGAGGGAGAGAAAAGGAAGAAAAGAGGCGGAGGAGAAGAAGAAAAAGTTAACAACAAGGCACGCAAAGTTTCACCACTCATCCAGCCAAGACCAGCTTAGTACGGAGCTTCTCTCGTTGCATTGCATATCAATTGATCCGCAAGATACTGTTCCTATCCACACAAGCAAAAAGGAACTTTTAGCACGGCGACTAAACCCGCCAAGCTCACAAGGTTAATTCAAAGCGTATTGCCCAAACGGGAACAGCGAGGCTTTTTCTCGACGCTCTAATTTGATGGGCGAGCGAGGCGAAGAAGGACAAAACAAAATGCCGCTGCATCTTAAGCTTAGCGTTTGACTTGTCAAGTTGGAGTGGAGCAAAGCGTGAGCAAGAAGAAAAGCAGAAGAAAGGGGGTTAAGCTTCGTATTGTTTTCTTTTTCCAAGTTTTGTTCTTTTGCTTCTAGCTTCTCTCGCCTTGTTTTGACAACATGCGGTGAACGATATACGCACAGAATCATTGCTCTATCTCTCTCCCCGCCTCCCCTTGTATCAGGCTTAATCCATGTAATAGCAGCGTAGAGCAACAAAAGTTCGGGTTTTGCCGTACTTGGCGCACGAGCACCTGCATTAGCTAGGGGTTCTTAGCGAAGCGATGCTTCGTAGCGAGGGGAAATGATTCAGCCAGTTCTGTTCGATGCAAATCATCATGTGGTTCGCCAAGCGTTGGATGAGAAAATATGATGCGCATCAACAGGCATTCCATTGATTGATGATGAATGCATTCTCACATATTCCAGCACATTTACTTCGTTCAGTAATTCACATTCGCAGTCATTGACCTAGACTCCTAATACATAGAGCCAGTGTGGGTGAAGATGTCCGTGTTGGCTGATTTATGCGTTGGGCATCTTGCGAGGTCCGCAAAGGGTCCATAAAAGGAATCCTGGCACCTGTTGTCCCTGGCTATCGCAGTCTTTGCCAAAGATTGAAACCTCCAGAAATACCACCTTTGTACGAGTCATGTTTCCCAAGTTCTACCGAGCCGACTATGGGGGAATCGCCTATCATATGTGTATAGCATATGCCTATACAGCTACGTGGGGAGTGTCTTCATCTTGAACATGGGCATCGTTATTCATTATTAGTAGCTAGCAATGTCGAGCTTCAGACTATCCGCACGCATCTTCTAGCTTAAATGCATTATCGAGTGAGCATCATCCTTCATAATTCCGTTCCTTGGTATATCCGTCTTCCTGAAATTGTCTTTGTTCTCATTGACCCTTGAATCATACAAATACACATGTAGATGGCTTTTGGCGAGGCCTTGGCCCGAGTTCTTCCACACAAAAAAAAAAAAAAAAAAAAAAAAAAATTGTTCGTGTTTCGAATCGAAAGTCCTAAGTGTGATAATCATCCTCCTTGAACTTGATTGAACAGTAAAAGAGAATCGATCAGGGTAAATCATCAATCTATGAGATGTTAGTATATATCGTGAGGTCTCTTTGGTGGGAAGATGGGCAACTCACCTTTGTTTGTTTTAGTAGTTTGCGCACTCGGCAGACAACTTCTCAACTGGCACTGCTTGCCATAGCCAGACCCATGGTCACTGGCTATCTAATTCTGTCAAAGGTCTTCAAATGTTGAATCCCTGCCTCACGCTTGGATAAGATGCTGGGCATCTATGGCGTTATAGTACGGATGGGCATTCCGTCATCACAAAACTCAACGGCCCGTCCCTTGCGTTTGTTTGCGCCGCTGCCCTGGATGTCAATTGCTCCGAAATACTTTGAAAAGGCGGTCATCTCATCCTCCAGTTCCACCTCCTCCGAGGCGGACGAGAAGATGTCGTCGTCGTCGCTGTCTTCGAATACTTGGCTATGCATGGACGTAGCAATCTCCTTGCCCTTTCCCATCGGGTCCGTGAGCGTCTGAGCCTGCTCGTCTTGCCATTGATAGGGCTCGCCACCAGAGAATCCAGCAATTTGCTTTGAAAATCCGCATTAGATTCGACCTCGTAGATCTTTCACTCGAAAGAAAGCCATATGAAACTTACTGGGTTCTGAATGGCTTGCGACGCGGACGCTGCAGACGCCTCTAGAAACGACTCGCGTCTCTCGCTGAATCTCACCACGGGCAGCTTCTTGAAATACCTTGCCGCAAACTCTGCCTTTCTAGCCTTGTCCTTTGCTTCCCATTCTGCACGAGCCTTGGCCAGAGCGGCGGCTCTCGCGGCGGCAACCTTGGCGCGTTCTTCGAATAGCTTGGCCGCAATCTCGGTGCTTTTACACTCCTGAACGGGGCATTCGTAAGGTGTCACCTGGCGCTTGATTCGCTGACGCTTGTCTTCTGGGAACATGTCGCATTCAGAAGGGTGCTGAGATGGGAGGCCAAGAGCGCAGCCCTGTCTGAGGAGCATTCTGTTCTCGCCGCAGCGATCCCAGCTGTAGTGCTTCCAGTAGCCGCAGTATCTGCACTTGACAATGTACTCTGCACACATGTTGATTTCGGTGGACAGTGTAGACAATGGCAAATGTTGAATCGTGATGGCTTCTTGCTTCTCTGGTTCTGGTATGTGGTGCCTCTTTGGTTGAAGGAGTGATGTGTGCTGCAAAATATGGGTAGAGGAAAATAGGGAGAGGAGGAGGAGGAACTTCTGGGAGGTGCACTGCTCTAGTGACTTCAAATTCAACCTTCAGAAAGATACAACGAACTTCGTGGCAGAATCAACTGCCAAACCGCCTACAGTTGTCAACCTTCTGCGTACGACAGCTGCTTGATTACCCCTAGAAATTATCGGCCAAAGGGGCAGCCATGTGCTGGAGGAGAAGCTCTAGAATACTTGGCAGAAGACATGTTAGTGTGAAATTTGACAGAAAGTACCCGTCAACTGCAACGCAGCTCACTTCCTCTTCACTTTTGGTTGCTTGGCAAAAGAGATCGTCAATGGTAGATGTTCGTGTAGTAGCTAGCCATAGTTGGGATGAATTTGCGTGTTTGCACCCACATGGTAGCCAACTGCAGTGAATAAACAATGTTTTGACATCGATCCATCATGGAATAGGAAGAGTGGCAAGTAATTGTTCTTTGTTTCTATTCCCTGGACAAAAATAGCCAAATTCTGAGATCAGGATATATCAGGTGCTCTTCAATTGTCTATTCTCAGTTCCGGCCCTCTTGTTCAGTCCAACCTACTAGGTTTATAAAGAGCTGGCTCTCAAGTTCAAATAGTCACACGGTATCTAAAAGCAGTGCATGACAAAGATACAAGAGTTCAACTTTGTGTGTTCCCATCAATGGATAACAATTCCTCAAAGGGATTGTGTTGGGCAGCGTGAATTAATTAGGCCAACCTAGTGCCTTCTTTGTTGTATTAACAATGCCGATTTGCAAATGTCCAAAAATATATACATATTTGGTTCATTTTGCCTTTGTCTTTACTTTTGAGAGCCTTGGCTCTACTTCTCGTGGGCGAATACTTTATGCGCCTCTCACCCAACAGAAGCTAGAATATGACCTCTCTCGTATCATCAAAAGTTTCAAGTAATACTGGCTTAATCTACAATGAAGATGCAATTTGCTAAAGATCATCTCGTACAGGCTCTTTTCATCAAGTGTAATTAATGAGAGGATTATAACGGCTTCTAGAAGGAAAGACTCGCTAGCAACACTTGTTGGAGATGGTCCTCGGACAGGTGATTCATCAGCAGTTCCGAAATATCTGGGAAAGTTGACATCTATTATTCCACAGGCAAAACCAATCCATTCTGGTCTCAATGAGCTAATAAATAAAAAGAATTTGCCGCGTCCTTTGAGCAATCAAACAGCATATCGCTTCGACATTCTCTCGTGTCTACAATCCCAAGTCTAGGAGAAAATAAGAGGACCATAAGTAGGAGAATTCTTACAATTTCAGAACCAACAAATTCCTGATGCCCCGAAATAAATCCTTGGTTGCCACAACTCTGACTAATTGCAGAGAGGCTGGCTGCCCTTCGGAGATTTTTTCCTTCTTTAATTGATGACGACGGCACAGCACAGTCAGACTCCGGCGATAAGGAATTTTGCGGGCGTTGAATCCTTACGATTCTGATTGTGTGCCGAAAACGACATATTTACCCTAGCCGTCCACGCAGGATGCTGGGCCACAGCCTCGTCCTTGCATGCCTTCTAACTTCCAGTATAGGTATGTCCTCCAAATCCCATATCTGCTGATACCAGGACCAGGTCTACGGAGATGTGTGGAGCATGGCAATCCCACGTCGGTTCTGGCCGAGAGCATCACGCCAAAGGACGCCAAAGGCAACTCGTATACCCGCAAGCCGTGGCGGAACGGCGCAGATCGAGCCTGGTAATGCCGACTGAAGCCTCATCCCCGCATTGTTCATGCAGAGACATCCTCTGCTAAGGCCCGGGTGTATCCCGTAGCTGGCTGATCGTCCGTTGATCCCTGTAAAATCACACTGGCAAGGGTTTCGGTGTCTGGCTGCGGTCGCTCACAGCGTCAGCCAGCTTCTCGTAAATCTGACGGAGACAGCCGGTGTCCAAACTCGATCCGAAACATCTGTATCTGGTCCTCCTAGCCAGCCCTTTGCCCAGGCGGTTTCTAGCGGCAAAACGAGGCCAAATGGCGGCTGTAGCAGGTAAATTGCCATCAGGCTGTGGCTCGCATGGCAGGGCCAGCCAATGCCTACATTAGGATGCGCGTGTGTGTGGTTGGGTTGATCACAAGATATCCAAAAAGGAAAACATACATGAACATACATGTAGGGGCGCCACAACCACGACGAGACCCTGGTAGATGGGAGGATTGAGGGAAACCGGGAAGTTTTGATATGGAACCAGGGCCTGCAGCCGCACTTTGACGCTGTAAGTCGAGGCTGGGAGCTCTCCCTAGTATTTCTTCTCGCCTCCCAACTTTCTTCTTCTCTTTCTTCTTTTTTCTTTTTCTTCTCTTTTTCACCATCTTTCCGCCAAAAAGGCACACACAATTATTATTTGACTTCAATTTTTCTCCTCCCCTGCTTGTGGCAAAACACAGGGCACAGAAGAGGCGAATGATTTATACGCAAGGTATATCCAGACGAAGCCCTAGCAGCCAGGCAGGCTACCACGAGGCACGCACCTGCCCACGACCATGAGAAGTACCAACCTCTCCTCTGTTCTTTTTTTTCCTCCTCTTCATCACTCTTGAACCCAATGCTTGTCCTGCTTCCCCTCTTCTATCCCAATAGCCACATCCTCCAAATCCTTTCCGATGCATTGGCCAATTGAGCCGATATGCAGCATGAATCTTTCGTGCTAACAAGGGCCTTCCGCGGCTGCATAATAACGAACCAACCGGCGGCTGAGCTTCAGAGAGGGGGAAATGACATGGACGAGATGAATAACGCAGCAGGGCTCTTCTTCCCCCTCATCAGACTGGGTGATTCTATCGTTCGTCGTTTACTCATTACCATATATGGATATCTACCTATGCTGATGCCTTCCCTATGCCCTTCCCTTCCCTTCCTTTCCTTATCCCTATACAACGCCAACCAGAAGCTGATGTTGGCCGACATGGTCCATTATTAGGCGAGAATTACCATTACCCTTCCTCATTATCCGCCGTCCGAGCCTCTCAACTTTGAACTCCCATCTTCTCCCGCCAATCCCTTGCCGCTTGGGCAATCTGCAAAGCCGCAGCTTCGATCCGCCGTGCTCGTTCCAAAAGACTATGATCCCTTCGCGTACCGGATGGCCTCTTGAGCTGGGCAATCATTTCGAGTACGGCCATGTGGTCCACGACCTTGTCCGGGTCTCTCATGCTCTCTCCTCCTCGATCCCGGCTCCCTGACACGGGAGTCCTCCTCCCAGATGCATTACAAGCGTGCTCGACCCCATCATAAAGACAGTTGCTACACGGTCCCGTCGCCCCCGGCGCTTGGACGATTCCTTCTGGTGATACAACGCACTGGGGAGAGATGCCTTGCCCGGCACGGCAACGGCTGCAGCGTCGGTTGCTGGTGTTTTGCTCTATGCCCCTCTCGTACATCATGATTGCTTCTGCCACTCGAACTTCCGCGAATGCAGGCTCTTCCCGCCATCGCCATCTCCCCCATCTGCGGACGGTAGGAAGTGGGCTCAACGCTTCGATGAGATAAGACCACGGCCGCGCAGAGGGTGGCACGGACACGTCGTCAAAGACGCATAGGGCGTGCATTTCCCTCATGGCCAGATCACCTGGGTCGTCCGGGTGGTCGCTTGCGTGCCGCTCCAGTCCTCCAGGCCAGCCTTGTATTGAGGGACCATGATCAGCATCATTGTCGCTCTCTTCCGCATCGTACTCCATCTCTAGTTGGATCTGATGCATTGAGCGGCCGGCAATGACAGCTGAAGGGTTGGGCATTTGGTTGTCGAGGACAAGGGGAGGAAGCTTCAACGCAGAGCTGCGGGCCTGGACACCTGGAGCCGCCATTGCCATTGTCGTCGGCACCGCATCACCTGTAGATGGATCGTTGATGCTCATTTTCACCACGGCTCGGTAGAGAGACTTGCGAGAAACAACGGCTCAGCAGGGCTCACGGCGCATGTTGCTCCGTCACACATGTGGCAGGACGACAGCCCCAGACCCAAGAGACGACAAGACACCACAAGATGCTGACGCAAAAAGGGAACAGAAGAGGCGACCTCGGGGACTGGGGCATGGTCGTGTTTTTAACCTATTCAAGAAAAAGAGGACGGAGCACGGCAGCGAGGTATATGTACCATTTTGCCGCTCTATTGGCCTTGGTACACGTTGCTAGCTGTGGCCCTGCACTCCCGCAGCTGCTGGATGCGCGTGGGGGAGGGGGTATGATATTAAGCTGGATCCAACTTGACTTTGGGGCCCGGGAGACCAACAAGCTGTGAGCAGACTCCGACAGCTCGGCGATGCGCCCCCCTTGCCGGACGACTACCGCTGGCCAGGGCAGAAAGATTAGGTAAGTCTAGAGTAACGAAAACAGCTCCCCAGGCACGGCTCCATCCGAGCAAGGTCCTGGTCCCGCCGATTTCTCGCAGCTACATCGCGAGAATGGGAGCCGGCAGCCTGTTTTGGGGGCCGGCTTTGGGCGTCTTGCCAGCCCTTTTGGGGACTTGGATGGGAGGGAGGGGCGCCAAGGACTACAGTACGGGTACAGGTAACAGTACAGTATGAAGAGGGAGAGGGAGAGGGCTGGCGAGGCGAAGGAGAGGGAAAAAAACGCTCCATTACCCCGTACTTTGCCAGGCGTCCAGCCGTCTCCGGATTTTCGAGCTTGTGGAGCCTCCCTCGACTTCGAAGGAGCGCGAGCATTCAACGGGCGCCCTTGTGCATATGTATGCTTGCCCTTGGCGGAATGTCACATCCGCCGCTTCATGGAATTGGCCTGTGGTACAGGTAACGCTTCAGCAGATGCAATGTAAGGCCGACTCGAGGGAGCTTGTGAGCAACTAGCAGCACTCGACTACATGTACAGACGCACGCCCAAACAAATACGAAGGGGAAGGGGGCTGTCGATTCGGATACAGCTCAGGCTGCCTCTCCCCCGCATTCGGTCCTCCTCTTTCATCTATTTTCTCCTTGGGCGATCACCCTCCCAGCTCAGCCCACCTCCCCCAAGCTTCCGTCCCCTCCCGTACCCCCGGTCTAATGTCGTAGGGGGATCCGACCGATCGCATGGTATCCACGCCTACTAGCTACAGGAAAGCTCCGTGGAGCAACACACCTGCTGGACTGCGTTAACTGGCACAGACAATGGCTGACGGAGTGGTCCCGTGGGACGAGTTGGCTGTGTGGGGTAGCAAGCGAAGCTTTTTTTTTCTTTTGATTTTTTTTTTCTTCTCCGTGCTGCCCCATGTATGTATGGAGTATGGAGAGAGTACAGGTACGTACCACTAGGAGGTGAGAATGGCCGTTTTTTATGCCGGCTTTTATGCAACGCCAGCCGTTGAGCCATTCTCTCTTCCGTGGGGGGAAGCGGATCATGCCTCGCTACAGTATCTCCAGGGTCTGCCGTGGGGGGTCGAATCCGGCCAGAAGCGCGGCCACTCTTCACGTCCATGTTACTGGTGCTCCGATACCGATATCTGGGGATGCCAGCCATTGGTGTAGTGGTGTTGATCCAGGTCGGATCGCTCGCGGTGTGGTGGTATATATCAGGCACTGCCCCCGTTATGTGCCGCCATGTTGATGATAAAGCCCCCATGTAACGTTTTGAATTTTTGTTGATATAAACGCCTTGCTATTCAATGTCCGTCTAGCTCTCCTCATATTCTGGCAATAGCGCTCTAGGAGGGAACGGTCTTCTCGTTCACTAACACACATCTGAACTACGTTTCACATTCCACATTTGCCGCAATGACAGCGTCTACAGAGCCTAACGGCTTCTCCAACCACAATGGCTCAAGCCATAGCTCTACCACACCCTTACAGCCAGGCCTATACGTGCCTACCGTTGCATTCTTTACTCTTGAAGATACCATCGACGAAGAGACGACAGCAGCTCACGCCAAGCGCCTAGTTGAGGCCGGTGTCACGGGCATCGTGACGCACGGCTCCAACGGCGAGGCTGTCCATCTTGATCACGCCGAACGACAGCTTGTCAACCGCATTACTCGCTCAACCATCGATGCTGCTGGCAGAAGTGATATGCCCCTGATTGTCGGATGCGGCAGTCAATCTACACGAGAGACAATACAGCTATGCCGGGAGGCTGCCGCGTCTGGAGGAACACATGCTCTCGTCCTGCCACCAGCGTATTATGGAAGCTTGCTATCGACAGAACTCATAATGGGTCACTTCAGAGAAGTGGCCGATGCTAGCCCAATTCCCCTTCTGATATACAACTTCCCAGGCGCTTGCAGTGGGCTAGATCTCAGCTCGGATACCATCTTGGCCTTGGCTGAGCATCCCAATATTGTCGGCGTTAAGCTGACCTGCGGCAACACGGGCAAGCTGGCTCGTGTTGTTGCCGGCACACGTGGGACGACTTTCAGGACCTTTGGCGGTAGCGCCGACTTTGCCATTCAGACCCTGTCCGTGGGCGGGCACGGTGTGATTGCGGGATTGGCCAATGTGGCGCCAAAGGCCTGTGCTGAGGTTATGCGATTGTGGACTGAAGGCAAGACAGAGGAGGCGACGCTGCTGCAAGGGGTTGTCGCTGCTGGAGACTGGACTGCTATCAAGGGCGGCTTTGTCTCTGTCAAGGCCGCGCTGAAGAGATATTACAGCTATGGCGGCGAGCCACGAAAGCCTTGTGCCTATCTCGAGGGCAAGGCCTTGGAAGCACAGCTGCTGGGCTTTTCTGAGCTGGTTGAGACGGAGAAGAAGCTAGAGGCACTAGCTTAGCCTCCACCACAACAGGCAGACGGATAATAATAAGAAATGGAGAACGAAAAGAAGTTGACCGGTCTGGTGGGGCGTGGGGGGAAATCTTGAGTCTGACTCTGACAAGAGACCAAACAGGCGAGGCGAGCGTGGTTGTGGAGGCTCTTTAGCGGGGACGGAATTCAGATCCATGTTTGCCGTCATGCGCTTTTCTTTTCGACTATTGCATACACTAGCACGGAGAAAGGGCACAAGGTCTTGCTTGGCCCTGATGAGTTTCGCCGTTGGGCTAGGAACAGACCAGCGTACATACTCGTACGAAGCTCAGCTGTACTGCTGCGAGGCGGGAGGCGCGGACAAATAGCCGGCAAAACAGATGGAATATGGTGAATATACGAGATAATACCTGGCAAGCGGAGGACAGAAAAAGCGAGACCAGAAAGATTCACGAGTTAAACTATACGCCTATAAAAGGGGTAGCTGCTATATCTATATTTCTCTAGTAAATGCTACTATATCTATATTTTTCTAGTAACTGCTACTATATCTATAATTACCTACTAACTGCTACACGAACTTTAAATAAATCATCTGCAATACTGCTCTGCTAGGAGGTTATTGATTCAAGAGATCAGAATAGAGGGAAAGGGGGCTCAAGATGAGATGTATAGCAACGAAAATGACAAAAATGTTCAGATATCCGGGGCAGTAAATATTCAGTTCTTTTTACTATATACAGCTTAAGCAGCGGCGAGATGTATTCTCCATCTAGCAACTCTCCCGCATAATCTATCAACCATACCAACAGCTACTCTAATTCAGGTGACCCAGGAAGCCTTCCAACAGCTTCACCAGGCCATACGCGCCAGGATCGGGACACTCATTCCATCCCTCGGCATTGACATAGACTGATCGCCCCAGGCTGGCCTCCATGCCCTTTGTGGAATCTGAGCCTTTCCTTGCGGCCTCGACAGCCTTTTGTACGTCAAGTGTCTCGGCCAGCGTGTTGACAAACGGCACAAGCGCATCCACCACGGTGCGGTCACCGGGCTGAGCAGGGGTGTACCTGGCCAGGCTCTTGAGGGCAGCCTGAAGAGCGGTAGCCCAAGTCTTGGGAGTAACAGCGGTCTTTTGGCTGCTAGCCTGGCCCTGGAGGCCTGAAGCAAGAGCGTTGACGAAGATGGCGTACAGCGCGCCTGAAGTGCCGTCCATACTTGACTCAATGACTTGGGCAATGTTTCGGACAAAGTGCACCGTATCAATGTCTCCAGATGAGGAGACGGTTTCGAGATGCTTAAGGACAGCCTCAGCGCCCGTCTTGAGGCAGAGTCCGCAGTCACCGTCGCCCACAATAGTATCAAACCTGGTAACTTCGGGCTCTGCGACAATGAGGCTCTTGAGAGCTGACTGCAGCTGGGAAATGGTAAATGCAGCGTCCACTATTTATGTCAGTTATAGTTCTCTTCTAGTTTCGCGAAAGGAGGAATAAAGTTGGGAAAATCTTACAGTCAAGGTTGCTGGGAGCTGAATCATCTTGGGACGGGGCATCCTCCTTGATCTCCGCCTTGGTGGTGTCAATGCCGTTAGCCCAATTCTCAGGACGGACAGCTGGTGACCAGCCAGCAGCATCGGCGGGAGCATCAATCAATGGCAAAATAGCCTTATCCGCCACCTTGAGAATCGTAATGCTGAAGCCCAGGCCGTTCAAGCTGGTCATGTATGTACCGCTAAGCAGTCTTGATGGCTTGATTTTGTAAGAGGCGTCGAGCTGGTCGATGACCTCCGTTGTGATGGCACCAAGCTCGAGGGGGCTTATACCACCGAGATTGTTTACCATGACAACCACTTCTTCTCCAGACTTTACATTGATGTAGGCGCGGTCACTGTCTGACTGGTCGAGGAGCTGCTTCAGCATGGTCTCAACGAGGCCCTTCAAGGTCGTCTTAACACGGCCGAAGCCCTCCTCGTTGTGAATACCCATGCCGATTTCAATTTCATCGCCAAGCTCATCGGGGGTGATTTCACGGCCAGGAACGTGGACATGGGCTAGAGAAGCGCCAACAGTGGCAAGGTTGTCAGAAGCAAGGGTGGCGATCTGGGAGACCTGCTCTAGAGATTGTCTATTCGCATGAAATCCAGCAGATCAGAAACAAGTTTCCAAATGATAGTTGCTGTTTTGCGTGAAATGGGACTTGGAACTTACCCCTGAGCAGCAGCGGCAGCCGCAATCTTTTGCACGAGGACTGTTCCAGCCAAACCTCTCCTGCCAATTCGTCCGCCACGTTTCCTGCCTACACCAACGTCATCTCCCACAACCAAAAGCTCAGTCTTGATGCCCTCGGCGCGAGCCTTCTCGACTGCCATGCCAAAATGCAGCATGTCGCCGGTGTAATTCATAATCAAGACTAACACTCCTCGCTGTGGCTGTTCCGCGCCTACACGGCGAATTGCGCGAAAGACCTGCTCGGCAGAAGGAGAGGCGAAGACAGAGCCGGCAACAGCAGCGGTTAGAAAGCCTTTACCGACAAAACCCGCAAACGAGGGCTCGTGGCCGGAACCGCCGCCTGAGATCAGGGCAATGGTAGGCTGTGAAGCGGCATCGCGAAGGAAGACAGTCTTTTGCGCGGCATCAAAGCCAATGGAGGGGTTGGTGTAGGTGGCCGAGCGGAGGGCGGCATTGACGAGAGCCAGAGGCTCGTTGGCGAAATGCTTGGCTGGGATGAGTGTTAATGTTAGCTAGAGTTTGAAATCTCCAGAATTCGAAGAAGCGCAAAGGGCTGGAGAAAAACATACAAGACATGGCGAGCCGCTGTTTGCTACCTCTGTATGTATTATTATTGCTCTCTTAGACGAACCGTATGGCGGGGTAGCAGTTGAAGAGGAAGAGAAGGAGAAAATCAGCAGAGGCGATTCGCAACATTCCGTCGCTTGCTTCCCCGCGCCGCGGTCGAGTTGTATTTATCTAAAAGCTCGAGAGTTACCCCATTCTCGCAAGCGTCGGCCAAGACCTGTTCCTTTGGCTTCGATGAGATCCATCGTGAATGGGGGGGCGAGATTGTCCCACGCAGGGCAGTGGCATCATGGGCTCAGCGCTGTGATGCTTACCTTATGAAATATAAAATGGCTGGTCCGATATCGAACTTTGGGTGGTGGTGACCCCCGTGTAGGACGGAGAAGAGGAAAAGATGAAGAGAAGAGAAAGGGTCGAGAACACTTGACGGAGTAACAATGGAGAAACGTTCAGCGGGTTGAGTAAGCTACTACCACAAGGGACATGTAACTATCGTGGTGCTGTAGCTCAGTAAAATACAGGCAACGTCCCCCAAAGTGACCCCCAAAGGTGAACCCCCAACATCTTCAACTCGATTCTCTCCCCCATCCAAGGTTTTCTCAATCGTCAACACAGTACAAGTACAAGAATAATGAATGCATGGCTTGCTTGACTTATGCACGTTATGCTTAAGCAGCCACAATGTACGAGTACCTGTGATGGTGGCTATTCCTTCGCATCTTCTCCACGAAGCCATCATGTGCCAAGCAGCCAATCCTACGGCAAACCCCCTCACCAGTGCGGCTCAACATGCAGTTTTCGGCGCTGACTTGTACAAATTGAATAGCTACCATACTACAGTAGTAGTCTACACACTAATATAAAATATATTAATATTGATACTACAGGTAGTGCGGGAGAGTCCACTCGCGACGCGGGGAGCCGAGGAAATCGGATGCCATCTCACGGGCCTGCGGAGGGAGTGTCCATTTTCCCCAACTATTATTCCATGTACTCCGTGCTCATACTCTGCACGCTCCCCGGGCGTTGGGCCAACTTGGACGCCCCTAGCTAGCATTGATTTGATCATGTCGACTTGCTGCTACTGCCGAAAACGACGAGACATGGCTTGTCCTCCCATCCATACACGGTCGTCGGCGAAGCCCCCTTTGCCTAAACGAGAGAGCCGGGGTGAGACGCTACAGTAGGTCGTTGAAGCCACAAGTCTGGATGAAGTGCCCTTGCTGCATGCAGTGGTTTTGGCCACAAGATCAAAAAAGCTTGGTTCTTTTGGGCTGCTCGACTCTTTCGGATGTATGTCAGACAGCGGTCGACGTGTCAAGACCTGACCCCCCTACAGTACAGCTGGGCTGCATGCATATTCAGGTCGAAGGTCAACGGTCTGCGGTCTTACAAGAAAGAAACGTGAAAGAGAAATCGCCGATTCTACACGATACCGATACTTGACCCTAGGGGGGTCGATGTACCAAAACATCTGGCACCAATAGGTGGTCGTGGGTGTACGGGTACATGTACGGTGAAGAATGCAGTCTTACAGTCACCTGGTCGGTCTCCCCCACACTTTTTGCCAGCCGGGGAGCCGTTTTGGCGAGAAGCCATTCTTACCCTTTTGGACACCAACAGAGATTTCCTACCCTGGCCCAGTATCGTGACTCGTGCTATTACAATTACATGATTGGAATACATTATAGAGTCGAGACTACGTTGTGCTACCTTGCATCCATGATACATGCTGAATGGGCATTCAATGGATAATTGTACAAGAGTGCATAGAGAGAGGAGACGGATATTGTAAACAACACAAGAACATTATCGTGAAAATAATTATCTAAACATTATTCTATTTATACTAATTCATACACTCTCAAAAAAGCACACTGGTCAATCTGTCTTGTACACTAGGCTACATCCAAGCCAAAAACCAAAGTAACATAATCAAAAGATGAACCCCCAAAACACTAATAAAACAAATCCAATCATTTCCAATGAGGAGGATAATGAGGCTCCTTGGCGCTCGCCTCCTTCCCTTTCCGTAAATCCTGATAACACCCACAAGAGCATATTTCGCCCTCAACTATGTTAAACTTCTTAGGAAGTTTTTCTGCGGGGAATTTCCCGACATTCGTGTGATAAGCCCAGGCCCAGTGGTCGACGACTTGGTCTGGACGGGGCGGATTCCAAGCGCATCTGGGGCACTTCGCAGCAGGGAAGAAGTGGATGGTATTTCCGTATCTCCCGCATTCGTCTCCAATCTGCTTCGGTGTCTTGTTGGATTGGCCTATCAAGACCTTGACCCATTCGAGGCGGTAGTCGGGGCAGAATTCTTTCTGCTGGACTGTGTAGCCGCAGATTCTGCAGTGGGCGAACTCTTCGAAGCACATGGTGACTGTATGTGATATTTTTTTTTTTTTTAAAAAAAATAAAGAAGTAAAGGGGTGGTGAGAGTATGTTGCCTTTATAGGGTCGTAGTTGATATAGTTGCCAAGAGAGAGTTGGATATATATCCAATTGGAGTTGTTTGAGAAGGTGGGTGAAAAGAATTCTTTGAAGTGATGAAAGGCTTGTTTCTCTTAAGAGACAAAAGTAGAATTGGTTTGTATGAGAGAAGTAGAGATAGTGGGTACTGTGTGTAGAAGACGAAGGCTTGCTCTGGTTTGGACTGGTAGATGAGAAAGAGAAGAAAGGGCCAACAAGAAACAGGGGGGGAAGGGGGGATTATATAGGACCATAATAACAGGACGTGTAAACAGAGAGATATGGTAAACTATAAGTCTCCAGCCATAAATCCAATGTGAAGCCCATCCGATCCATCTAGAGGATTCTAGAGGGGGAGAAAAGGCTGTGGTTGGAGAGAATCTACGCCTCAAAATGCAAACTCGGCGGTTCCCTAGCAACTGGACGAGAATATGCTACGCCTCTTGAGAATGGCTCTGACTATGACTCCGAATATCTCATCTGTAAAGTCTGTAAGAGAAGGGCTCGCGTGGTGTCGTTACGACGCAGTTTGTTGTCTAGACGACTGGATGGATGCTCCAGATAGGGGCGTTGAAAGCCCAAAGTAAAGATTGCGTGGTGATCACGATTCGGTTTGTTGTCTAGATCACAGGGCAAATGCTCCGATGGAGGCGTCGAGAGCCCAAAGCTTCGATATGCCCATGATCATTGATGATCATGTAGCACATCGTAATATGGGGCTTGGGATATAGTATCGGAAAGCCTCCGTATTATTTTTCTACACCATACCCATAAGGAAGAACAGATATGGCACCCTGAGAGGCATCATTTCACCCAGACGGGGGGCTACACAACTCCAATTCCCAAGAAAGCAACATAAACACAAGATACTTATATATTGCAAGTGATATTAGTCTAGCCCAAAGAACGCCACGCCCAATACCTTTAGCCTTGGTTATCAGCTATTTGTTTACATGACTCACTTATTTACCCTTCTTCCCCTTCTTTGACTTTTTCCGAGAATTGTCTCCAAACTCTTGGTCGTAGATTTCCGTCGCCGTCTGGCCCGCCTTTCTCTTCTGCTTGGCTGATTTGACGCTGACTACGACGTTAGACTTTCCGTCCTTTGCGGCGCTGCTCACTTGCTTTTCGGCTTCCTCCCAGGCTGGTGCGTCACCATCGATTTCATATCTAAAAAGTAACGTAGTTAGTAATGGCTGAGAAATAGGGGATAGAAATGCCGAAACTAGGGGTTGCTTACTGATCCAGAGGCAGAGAGTCAATCATCTCTCTCTGCTTCTGTCTTAGGGCCATAAGAGCTTCGTCACCACCCTCCTCGAGTTCATCTTCGAGAGATGTCTCAAGAGCAACGAATCGATCGTCCACAATTTCGTCATCGTGAGCGCCGCTGGCATTTTCTCGGCTGACACCAATGTTCGAGCCTCTTGGAAGCTCGGCATCGGCTGCTGCCGTGACCAAAGAGTTGAAATGCGCCGTGAACTTGCGGAGAATCTTGATAAACATGGCAAGAAGTTGCGAGGATGGCATAGGCAGCTCTTGAGCAATCTCATCCACGCTCTTACGCTGTAATCCGATGGCAAGGAGAATAGCCTGCTGGATGCCCGACATTGAGACATCGGATTTTAGCTTGCCAGTGAAGTAGAGGTTCGCAATGGTAGGCATAAGATCCAAGATGACGTGGTAATCCAGCATGCTATTCGCGTAGGATGTCAATCGCTTCAGATCAAAGGGTGACATGAGGGCATCCAGCTCAGCCTTGGTCAAGGAAGTCTGAGGAGTGGCATCAAGCTGTGCGCCGGTATTTGCCGATTGGTCAATGCTCAGCGCAACAGAAGCGGCAAAGTTCCTAAACTCGTAGGATAGCAGAGAGAGGAATCTCTTCTGGAAATCTCTGGAGAATGCACCGAGCCATGACTTATCGCCGCTGCCATCAAGTGGCCTGAGCATGACGCAGGTGTGCTCGCCAGTCAGGTCATTGGCAGTTTGTCGCAAGTAGACGGGTGAAAATGAAGAATACTTCCAGAATTTGTGTAGCTCCTTGGTCAAGCCGTAGCTGACACCAATGTAGTCAAGTCGCTCTGGCTTCTTCTCCCATAGCTTGGAAAAGAGAGGAGCCATGTGCTTATCGTCTCTGACTGTGATTTTCTCCTCCAACAGAGATTCCTTGGCCAGCTCAGCGTCTGTCGCTCGAGCAGTCCCATTCTCCAGGACCTGATCGTCATCCTCAGAGAGGTTCGCAAATCGGCCTTCATAGTAGTCCACGAGAAGCTGCATCGCTCGCTTTCCGTATCCCATGCCCATATGGTTTGGATTGGTCGCAATACGGACAACACGGGCGCCAGATAGCGAGGCGAACTCTTCATCCTGAAATTGCTGGCTGACAAGCCAGGGAATCAAATCACCATGGGGTCTCTCTCCTCGGCTCAAGCTGTTGATCACGCTCTGTCTGCTAATCTTTCCTTCTAGAGCCACTTGGATAACGCAAAGAGGTTCGGGAAGTCTGCCACTGCTTTCTGACGTCGGGGCTGTGAGGACGAACAGCTGATGCGCAGGTGCATCACTCATCAGCTGTAGGTCATCAGGCGAGTTCTTGTAGTGGCTGGCAACATAAAGCGCTACCATCTGTTGGAGGAAAGCCTCGGGGATAGGGTGGAATGAGAATAGTGTGTCGCGGTTGACCATGAGGAGCTCGCATAGATTCGGATCTGGTGAGCCGCTGGAACCAGCTTTGGGCAAAGTTGCGTCCAAGCAAAGAAGCTTATTTAGCCACTTTTCGACCGAGTCACCTTGAGCGTATCGAATAGGCTCTGCGAGGGTGATTTCACGTAGTTTTCGACTGGCTTGGAATTCCTCCGATTTTGAAGCCCTTCCAGTGGATCGGTCAGCAACTTCAGTCTGGTCGTCCGTTGCGGCCCGTCGAGATTGCTCTCGTAGTTGTTTGATAAGCTTTAGGGATAGCGATCGACCAGTACCCTCGTATCCGTTGATAGTAGAGGCCATGAAGACCAAATAAGGGCCCATTAGCTTCCGAACGAGAGGCAAAGGGATGGCAGCCGCCTCATCAATGACCACCAATTCGGCCTGGCCAAGCACATGGGCATCCTGGGGGCGGATATACTGGATTGTCTGCCTGTGCTGTCGGTGGATGTTGACACGAACAATAGCCTTGTTGAAGTCGGGATTTGTGCTTTGGATGATGGAGTAATCCGCATGGTCAGCATAGCCGAGAGCGTCAAAGCCCTTGAAGACAAACTCGAAAAGGGTTTTCAAGTTTTCAGGAGATGGCGATGTAATAAAGATGTTGCTGTATCCGTATGCCACTGCAGCGGCCACGGCAACTCCCATGGCGGCCGACTTTCCTCGTCCTCTGGCAGCTGTCAACGCAACAGTGCTTCGCAGCGTCTTCTCAGCAATGGCGTCCGTGAAAGTCAGCAGGGCCTTTGCTTGATCAACCGTTCTTGCGAGGTTAATCAATGATCCGACCGGCTGGCGTTCCTGGTGGTCGTCTTTGATGGACTCCAGCTCCAACGCCTGCGGAGACTTAGGCTGATCGGCCTCCGGAGGTGGCAGAGCTCTGACATTCTTGCCGCCCGAAATGGGAAGAACATTCAGCTCGTCGTCGATAACCAGGCAAGAATCACAGCCTCCCAAAGACAGCAGGAAACGCTCGTTGAACCTTGCCACAACGTCATCGTGCGCTTCTGTTCGGTATTTTGAGTGGGCATCCATAGACAAGTTGTAGAGCTGTCGCAAACTGTTCATTCCCTTGAGCAGCATAATGACTAGACCACCACCCTCAACAGTCTCGATCGTCCGAGCCAAAATGTTGGGCGTAACGGCTTCGAAATCCTGCAGAATACACATGCCATATGTGTTACCCAAGATCTTGTCGGTCTCCTTGTAGTAGGTGTAGCGAATGTTGTGCAGAGAGACGAACAGTTCGAATGGATCCTCAGAGTTTGCTTCTCGGATTCCGCGTCTGATTTCCTTTTTGATTTTGTCTTCTCGCTTCTTTCGGTGACTATGTGAACAGCAGTCAGACGTCTGGTTCTGCCAAACCGGGGGAGGAAAAAAAGAGGCATCCTTTCATGCTCACCTTGTAAATCCCAGCAGCTTCTTCTTGTATGCCCACAGGACAGACTTGTTCTGCTTAATGTCTACCATGGACATGATATAATGAAGTCGGACAATGACATCCTTGGCCTGGTCTCCAACCACGACGAAAAAGCTTCTCTTCTTCTCCTGCAGGCCATTTCGAATGAGTGCGCCAATGCGCTCGTCTCTGTAGGCGGGTCAGCTATATCGCGACATTACGATATTCGATAATTTGGCTGCTCGATGACTTACACTTGCTTGCGCTGCATCTTGCGAACACTTTGTCACAGCCAATGGTCTGTGGTAAAGAATTGCGCAAGAATTGCTGGCTTCAGACAGTTTATTGCGGGACCTCTTGCATACAAAATACCGTCCCGTCAAAAAATCCAAAAATTTGGCGGTGGAGCTGGATTCTGCCGGGCGGTGAACACAAATAGCTGCACTAGTGCAAAACTTGACCGAACCGCTCACCGGGATGTTGACCGAGAAGGTTTATTAGCTGACAGTTGGGTGTATCATTTTATCCTGAATGAACAGCTTAAAACTCTAGGAAATAAATCATTTTGAATTACTATGAAGTAAATTTGAACAATTGGGAACACTCAAGTTTTATAGTCATGCAAAGATGTAAACCTTCATAGAGACTTGCCCACCAGTCTAAAGAGAGGTGCAATACCAGGTGATAGCCTATTTAGCTCCTTCCATAGAGATGTACGAAGGAACATTGCAACGATTCATCAAATGTGTTGATACATGTTCGTCTTATTCATACTAATTTTACAAAATCGATCTAACGGGAAAATGCCATGTCCCAGCCATGCACCACAACACATGACAACAAGTCATCTTCGCGAGTCTATGGAAGAGAAAAAGTCTCAGGAGCGCGTTGCGTAACTCATGGCTGACAAAAAGCTGCCAACCGCCAGACAGACACCAACCCATGAACCGGTCGAAACCCAACGCAATAGAGGAAAAATAAAATAAATGCGAATTTCTGCACAGCCCAAGCCTAGCCCCCTTAGGTTCGGTCCAGCTTGCGGCGCAAGTTTCTTGTTCGCTTCATTAGCTTCTTATACTTCTTCTTCTTCATCTTGAGCTTTCGTTGTCTCTTAACGCTGATGGCGTAGAGGTCACGCTGGCCGCGAGCTTGGTCAACTCGCAGTTGGCGGACAGCCAGACGCTCCAAGAAGCTCCGGGGCTGCTCGTCCTGGATAATTCGGGGGCTGTGGGCGATGATCCTGATTTGGCCGTCTGACTCTGTGGACTCCTCAATGGTGAACATGGCCTTATAAACTCGGTGGTGAGCCTCTTCCAAAGCTTCAGCCTCAGCCGCAACTCCTTCAGCCTCAACGCCTTGCTGCGCCTCGGGCAGCGGAGGAGGGCGGAAGGGCAAGAAATCTCCAGACATGGTATCAACCTGGAGATAGATGCTCGACTCGGTTCCGTCAGGATTCTTGACATCAACTCGGTGCATACCATCGCCAGCCCCTTGATCCTGAGATCCTATTGTCACCTGGGCCATGGGGCCTTCCAGCTGGTCAATGGTGTCAGAGATTGTAGAAACAGTGTCTTGTATCCTGTTCGACTTTGATCGAGGCGCAAATATGGAGGCAAAGTGCTCGTCTGTAACAGTCCTGGGCATGGTCTGGGTGATGGAAATGGGACGGTGGAGTGAGAAGAAGCTCGATAAGCTCAGGGCTAAAACTCATGTTAGTAACGAGCCAGGACCATTTCGAATATGACATTTGCGGCACTCACCTTCTTGAGACATGTGGTGAGTGCTGGGAACACTGGGCAGTTTCTTGAAAGCCGCATTTCGGTCGGCTGAATCCTTGCTCTTTCGTTTCCTGCTGCCTTTGCTCTCTCCGCGCGAGGTAGATGCCGGCACCGACTGGCCGGCGGCAATATCGTTGGGCTCATCGGATCTTGAGGGTTTCGACGAGGAGTAGCGCCGCTGAGGGCGATTCAGGATGAAGCTCGAGGCTGTGATCTTTGGAGCCGACGCGGCGAGAGAAGTCAGCCCACTTGCCCCCTGAGGAGCAGCGGCCACCGCGCGCCGCACCGATAGAGGCAACATTGCGCCGCCAAACTCGGTCTGCTGGGCAGATGGAAAACAGCGAGGGAAGAGAGGAAAAGAGGTCGATCCGAGCGCTGAGGCTGAATCCGATGATGTCGATTGTGTTTCGTCAAAGCCCGGGCTTGGCCGCTCGTTCGGCAAAACGATTTGCAAGGCGGCAAAAAAGGGGGATGAGTCAGCGAGCGCTAAGCCCTCTGTGGTCGTTGACAAGGACTGAGTAAGCCCTGCGCTTATCGTGAGTTCCGATATGTACTCCGGACTCCGAACTTGCAATGTTCTTATCAGATCTGGATGGGAAAAGCCGGGGGATTGTAGAGTTAAAATGGATCTCTCGTTGACTCCATTGCAAAGGACGAGGCCTTGACGACTAATTTGCGCATTGCGCCCCTACGAGTACAAGTATCACCCGCTATTGCTGCTTTAGTCTGGGGTTCGTCATATTCCCCCTGAGCTTGGCCTATCTAAAACCCCCATCATCGGACCCGATCACAAGACCGTATCAACGTCAGCAAGGTCCAGGGGGCAGTGACATGCTACATACGGCATACATTTGCGTCTCTGTCAGTGCACCGGAAGCATTGCTGTATTAATAAAAATATTTGATTAAAAAAAACCATCAGGCATAGGTGATAATGCGAGGTGGATATGCACTGTGTCGTCATGCATAATGATTAATGTGAGGTGCAACGAAGTTACCGCATTGCGAGTCATCTCTAGGCCTCTATGTATCTTGTCTTCCTTTTTCCCTCTAATGCAAACAAAAACAAAAACCCATCAAAACAGTCCTTTGGGGGAGACTGAGAAATTTAGGTGGCTGGGGCGGCGACCAATTCGTGGTCCTTGCTCTTGTTGCCGCCCTTGCTGTTCACCCAGCTGAGGTAGCTATTCCAACCAATGGAGATGACGTTGGCAAACAGCAGACGGTACTGCAGAGGCAAGAAGGTGAAGTTGACAAACTGCACGGCCGGCCAGAGCACCCAGTTGGCCTTGAGGGCCGGCCACCAGGTCGTTTCAAGGCGTTTCGAGGGGCTTTTGCCCTCCATGGTGGCCATGCTGCCGAGGAAGACTCCAATCATGACGGGAGCAAACAGCAGCTGGTCAGCCGCCACACGCGCCGCCGTCTCGACCCGAGCATTCCTGAAGGTGACGCGACGAGCTAGGAAGCCCAGCCAGGTAGTCGCAACGGGTCCAAAAACACCTGCAAATCCGTTGGGTTAGAAAAAATTTTCAATGGACCTGTGTGGTGGTGCTGGGCTGGCTGAGAGAGAGGAGAGAGGAGAGAGAGGTGGGTTTAGGCAGCCAAATAAAACCTACATCCACCGTAGAGCGCCATGCGGCCAGTTCGCGAGACATCGTGGCCCTTGGCGCCCCTTTTCTCGACCAGCTGCTGGGCGGTGATGTCGCCAGTCGCAAACAGAACTGCAGTCGTCACGCCCTGGGTGAGATACGGACGGGCTGCGAGCCTTCCATTGTACCTGCGCTCATGGTCAGAAGTGAGATCCTCTAAGTGAAAAAGATCGTCTAGCGGGTGGCAAACTCACCAACGAAAAAAAGTTGCCATGACGAAGAGATGAAAAACACAATCTAGACCACTAGGAGAAACGCCGGCACCAATTCGCAAAGGAAAATGATGAAAGAATTGAGTTGTCTTTGCTTAGGAGTCGATGAAGGACGGCGGGCAGTCTTTATAAAAATGATGCCCGAATTCGCAGTAGTTTGCCAATTTGGGTAACTCCTCTCACTAGCAAGGCTGGGGGCCGATGTGCGGAGATGAAGGAGATGGAAATCAACAACCCCAGGAATGAGATGAAAATAAATATGCGGGGTGGATAGATGAGGGGGATTGAAACGTTCCAATGCTTGAGATGTGAGATGAAAAAAGAAGAGATTTGAAAAGGTGGGAGAGAAAGCAGAGAAAAAAGGAGACCTGATGGTCGATCATTGGAGCTGGGAGTACAAACGGCCTGCTGGGAGGGTATATCTCGCTAAAACTTGGTGTTAGTTCAGCTCGTCCAAGACACGGCTATCGCGATGTTTGTTCTCCATGGGGCTCCAAGTTACTGCTAGTAGATGAGCACCTTGCCCAAATAGTAACCTCCGTCCTCTCCATTGTCCATCTCTGCGGAGTTTGAAGGGTTACATATCAGCAAATACGTCAAGTAATCAATTCTTACAGTGCTTCAGCATCATGGTCAAGTGCTCAAGCATTATTGTATACAGTATCTATTCATGATAACGCAGCTACAGAGAGAGCATCAGCTCCTGGTATCTTTGTGTCCAACAACGCCTATTCAACCCAATCATCCCACAATACATATATATACCAAAACCATCATCAGTCATTACAGCGTCAACTCGACAGTTATTGCTTCTTCCCCCGAGCAATAAGCTTTTCATATAGCTCCATCACAACGTTGCTCCACTGCTCACCCTCCGCTCCCACACTCTTCCCAATCCTAGTACCCAAGAATTCCCCAACCTTGCCCACGTTGAACTGTTCCCCATACACCACCTTGGCGTCCGTTGAAACATCCACGTTCACTCCCTCCGGCCCGCTAGACCCTTTGAGGTTGAAAGCCACCTCGACTCGCGTTTCCAAAGGCGCCAACAAGAGAGAACTAGTGATGGTAATGCTGGAGTCAGATGTCTTGGTAACCTTTGTTGGAAACGTTACATTGATCCGTTTGACCTCACGGGAGATCCATTTAGACTTGTCCCATGCAGCCCCTATTACGCTGAGGAGATGAGACAGCTTCGTGCGGCTCTGTGACAATGCACGAATGTGTTCGCGTACACACTGCAGGAGGAATTCCTTTTCGGTAGTTTTCGGTAGAGGGTTGGCGGTACGGCTATCGGCAATGTACCACAAATCTATGGGCGAGTTTGGCTGCCGAGGTTGGAAAGATGCCATATCGAGGACAAGTTCAATCTCTCGTTTGTATGTCATTGAGAGCGTTGACCCCGAGATGCCCGTTACGGCCCATCCATGTTGCTTTTCGATGGCCTCCACCCGCGCTATCATCGAGTGTCAGCTTGTGTTATAATCATAGCGATGTTTACGAATATGTATACACCCATACCTTTAAGATTGTTGACTTCGGTGCTGGTCCAGCCACGACATTCCTCTCTAATTCGTTCCGAATCTTGTATTTCTGCAAGGCACTGCGTTTTTTGTGCCGTTAATTCCTCCACGTCGGCTTCGGATGCCTCAAACTCTTGTCGAAGCTGGGCAATAAGTCTCTTCTTCTGAGTAATATCATCGTCTAGACTGGTCAATTCATCTCGAGCGGCTTGAAGCTCAGCAGGGTCGCAGTCGGCTAATTCTTTTGCAGCTTCTTCAAGGTTGTTGCTCTCTTCCAAGAGTGATTCGTATCGGCTCACAAGATTGGGCATTACAATCTTCAAAAGGTTCTCCTGCTCTTCGAGAACTTTGACATCGGCATTCATGCCATCAGAGATGCTGATAAGGCCTTCGTTTAGTCCATCCTGTAACTTCATCCGCCATTCGTACCACATCGCCTTGCTAAGGTGACGGGCATGGGTTCTGACGTTCTTGAACTGATTGTCCATCAATGCCTTGACGTCAGGAGTAGCAGATATGTACTCTCGGAACAGTGGAGGATTGTCTTCGAATGTCTCGGTCTCAATCTCCTTCACTATTCTCCGTCCTTCAGATATGTACTTCTTCAGTTCTCGGCAGGAATGCTGATATAGTTCCAGCATGGGCACGGTGCAGGCGCCAGCCATGACACGTCGCTCAAGCGACCGATCACCCTCCCCATCTGACTGAATGCCGCTCTGAGATGTCCTCGGTGCAATGGTGTGGCGCCGTTTCGTAGTGTTGAGCTCCATAAAACGAATCGAGGTTAAGTTCAAGAAGTCCTGAAGCTGCATCTGGTTTTCATCAATTGTCTCCAACAACTGAAAGTCGTTGCTGGCCGTAGGTTGGTAAATTTGGACATCGTGAACCGTCTGGTTATCTTTTGCAGCCATGGGGTGTTTGTGGCCCAGCAGACCGCTGCTATCACCGCCCTTTAGAGGAGACGAAAAGGCTGTTTGAGGCATCTTTCCGGGAAAGTCCAAGCTTAGTCGGGTTGACCTTCGGAGCCTACCAGTTGTCTCTTCTTTTGAAGGGGGCTGCTGAAGTCTCACATTCTTGACAGGACTGCCCTGGCGGTTCTTTAACCTCTTTACGCCATCATTCTCCTCTGCATCTTCTTCCTCGTCCGATTCAATAGGTCGTTTACCCAGAAGACCCCTGGCACTCCCAATATGGAGGCTCTTCCGGCCTCTCAACGGATTTCGCCTGGGGCTCATGCTATCAATCATCTCTCTAAGGTTGAGTGTAGCATCCTGACCACCGGATTTCGACTGGGTTCCTTCATCGCTTTCATCTACATCTGCTGCCAGGTCCTTGGGGTTACTGAATGCAACAGCGCGCTTTCCAGGAACGAATATGCTCGCTGAATCGCTCAACGACTCTCGCCGGTCAAAAATAGCCGCAATCTGAGGGGATCCCAGGCCAAGTCTGTCTGCACCAACTCCAGAAAGTCGTCGAGGAGTAGAGTCCTTCTGCGGCGTTGCTTTTGCGGCACTCCTTTGCGATGATTTAGCAGGTGAGGGTGTTCGGCTTGCACTCTTCGATGGCGATTTTCTAGATGCGGATCGAAGAACCCGGCTCTGCGATGTCGGCGTTGCTGTCTTTGTCGATGTTGAAGTTTGCCGAGGGGTCGTCAAAGCCTTAGGGGTTGTTGAAGCTTTGGGTGTCGTCGAAGTTTTAGGGGTTGAAGTTTTGGGTGTTGTTGACTTGAGTGTTGTCGAGGATTTGGGAGTTACTAATTTGGGTATTGCCGAGGCCCTGGGCGTAGTTGACTTGCGTGTTGTAGGTGGTTTCGGTGTAGTCGAAAATCCCGGCGTTGGTGGGGTTGTTGAGAAGTCAAATATCGGCTCCTCCAGTGTTTGAGGCGTAGCAGATTGTGCTGAATCTTCTGCAGGCTGTAACGCAGTACTGGGTGTGGATGTTGTGTTTTGAACAGGGGTATCCTCCTCAGGAGATAGTTGCGGTGCGTTGTCTGGTTTGTCCGTTTGAGAGCCAAAAAAGCTCTTCCTGAGCGCTTGAGAGGTATTTCTTATAATCCCCCCAATAGCTGTGGTTATATCCATGCCGGTTGTCGCATCGCCATCAACATCTTCATCTTCATTAGTGCCCGCGTTCTTGGAAGCACTGGAAAGAATGTTTCCAAAGCCGACAGTCATATCCATTGTGGCATCGTCATCCAGTTTTGAAGTCTGGTTCAACGTTGCCCGCCGCGTTGCCTGGCTCTGCTCTCTTTGTTGACGGGCTAACAGGCCACCCATGACACTGGTGAGCTCCATCGACATTTCTTCGTTTTGGTCAATCTCGGGGTCGGCATCCGGTAGCTCAGGGTATTGAATCCCGCCCATCACAGTCGTGAGTTCCATTGTAACATCATCCATGGCGTCATCATCCATCTCACCCGAATCTCTATCATTTGAGAGAATGCCACCAAATGCACGGGTCACGTCCATAGAAACCTCTTGTTCTTGCTCCGCGTCGATTCCCTCAGCCCCTGACGGCTTGAGAATCTTTCCCACTGCTTGAGTTATGTCCATATCCATGTCCATGTCCATGTCCATCTCTGTGCCGTCTTCATTGTTTTGATCTTTCGGTGCATTTGTGGATTCTCTGTTCCCACTGGTTCGGGGCTGCTGATTTGCCTTTTTCACCCAACCAAACGAGGGGATGATTTCTTCACCATCGTCGGAATCACCGTCTCCTAGCTGCTGAGTTGCCGCCTGTCGGGCAGCCATGCGGAGAGCCTCGTCAAGCGTAGATGATTCTTCAAGGTCATCCAAGGTTTTCTCAGATGCCACGGTTGTGCCTGTAACCTCTTCTGTCTCAACGCTCATCATTGTTCCATCATCAGAATCGCTGTTGGAGTTTTCTTCCTCCTCTTCCTCCACCTCTTCCTCGTCTGTAGCAATCTCTTCCACCGCATCTGCAGGTTCGGAATCAGAACTATATATAATCGAGGTGGTGTTATCGCCTTGACTCTGAATACCATTCTGTGCAGCAAGCGAACCTCGCTTCCCTTTCGTGTTCTGGTCGGAGGCAGCAAATTGAGGGCCCGCGTTTTGGATGATTGAACCCGAGCTTGATTTCCGTCTAGACTCTGCCGAATTCTTCTGCGTAAACTCTACTTCGTGAAACGTGTGCAGTGTTGCTTCTGCAGCAAAAGAGACTCTGCGATTCGCTAACGATTTGCGACGAGCGTCTCGCCTGTCCCGCTCCTCTCTCTCTCTGGCTGCGGCTTGTTGTTCTTCTTCTGTCCTTACGGCAACTTTCGATCCGCTTAATTCGTCCTCAGGTGGGCTAACCGTTGACACGCCTACTGACTTTCTCGAGGGTTGTGATCGCAATGGCGGAATTTCAGGTAGTGGAGAAATGCTGGGCTTCAGGATCGAGCGAGGGAGCTTGGATGGCACAGCAAGAGACTATATTGGAGGTCAGAAATGCCATGAGGGCCTGTATCAGGTAGAATGATTCATACTGCGCGCCTGTTCCCAGTTCCTTGCCTGAGCGCATCTATTCCGCCGGGGCCCATACTCTTGCTCCGTGATTTGCGACTGGCAGCCATAGTCTCGCCGACATCAATAGTAGCATTTTCCTTTTGTGAGCGATTTGAAAGCTCGGTGTGTACGCCGATTGATTTCCTAGTACGGCGCGTCGCCGGCATAGTGGATTCGCCCGGCGCAGACATTTTGCTGGTTGTCGTGATCCTGTCACGATTGCCCGAAGCAGGAGTTCCAGCTTGAAGCACAAAAAAGGGCCCGATGACCGCGTTTGTTTACTTCCACCTGGGGGGTAACGGTACGTACTCGTAGTGCATTGAGTTCAGCCACACTTGGCCTAGCCACAAATGGTGGGGATTCAAGGTCAAAGTTCTTCTCCACAACTCAACTGGCATTGGAATTTCGGGATCACGTGCTGATAACAAGAGCCCCGTTATTTGGCTCGCCTAATCAGCCAATCTAAATTTTGCAAGCCCTAAGGTGGGAAAGTGGCCCGAAAAAAGTGCGCCGTTGCCCTACTCCTCCATTCTGTGCAAAACCATCGACATTGTCTTCCCACCCTCTACGATACGCCCTCTAGTTACGGTATCTCTCCGGAGCAGGATAATTCAAGATGTCAGTTTTGCCCGACAGCATTGCGCCAGCTCTCGACGAGTATTGCGATTTACTAACATTCATGCCAGGGCGACCGAGTTGACCGTCCAGTCGGAGCGTGCTTTCCAGAAGCAGCCTCACATCTTCTTGAACTCCAAGACCAAGACCAAGAGCGCCCGACCGGGTAAGGGAGGACGACGATGGTACAAGGACGTTGGTCTGGGTTTCCGTACCCCCAAGACCGCCATTGAGGGCAGCTACATCGGTACGTGCGAAGAAATGATTGAAATTGGGAGGATTCGAAATGGGCAAAATGGGAAGGATTCGAATACACGAATGGAAACGAAGAGCGCAAAAGCCGGATAACGCGACGAGAACGAGATGGATACGCCTTGCACGCCTTGCATGGAACTGGAATTTGCTGACTTTGGAATGATATAGACAAGAAGTGCCCTTTCACCGGTCTCGTCTCTATCCGTGGCCGTATCCTGACCGGCACCGTCGTTTCCACCAAGATGCACCGAACCGTCATCATCCGAAGAGAGTACCTTCACTACATCCCCAAGTACTCCCGTTACGAGAAGCGACACAAGAACCTTGCCGCCCACGTCTCTCCTGCTTTCCGTGTTGAGGAGGGTGACCAGGTTACCGTTGGCCAGTGCAGGCCTCTCTCCAAGACTGTACGTTTTTATCCCCTTTTGCGATGGCATAGCTTGATGCTGATTCGCTCCCTTTAGGTCCGCTTCAACGTCCTCCGCGTTCTGCCCCGAACTGGCAAGGCGGTCAAGTCCTTCTCCAAGTTCTAAATTGGGTTTCTCTACTGGCATTTTTGGCGTGATAAACATCGGGGGGGAACGAATCATCCCCGCTGGAGGGTCGGCATGGGAAGTTGCTTTACAAAATGAGTTGTAGACGCAATCGTGAATAAAAAAGGATTCATGACCACGATCTCGACGTCTCAGGGTTGTTTACGACGCTTAATTCGATTCCCAATCATGGAACCCGGTGCAAAAAAGAAATCTTGATGATGAGGCCCTCAGGTGATGAATGAATAAAAACCCAATGTTTAAATATCAACAACAGGTTTCATGGTACAGTGGAAGCAGTGACTGTACAACATGGCAAAATATCGCGTGATACCAATGCGCGCTGCATACTTGGATTCATCTTTTGACGCATATATTTGATGTTCACTGGATTATATGAAGACGTTTGCCTCGCTTTCATGTGTTTCTCAAAGCTCTCAATCGATTATTACTCGCTCTGTAATGAGAAGAATCCCCCTGCACACAAATCGTGGATATAATAATGCACGTTGACATATGCGCTGCGCTCCATAAATCTGCACAGTGCACATCTGTCACCTTATGTAATATTCACACCCTTGTCAAAAGCATCTCCCGAACCTATTCTGTTGGGGACGTCAGAGCCACCTTGTAAGCCAAATAAAGATCTGGATACCCCTGGGTCGCTTCTTGCGGCTTCAACTCACTCTTCACCATGGGCTGGCTACCTTCCATCTTTGGCGGCGACGCTTCGAATCCCCTCGGCAAGCTCGATCCCAAGCTTCGCGAGTTTTTGGAAAAAGAATCGCCGGTCAAGTACATTCCCAACCAGCGAGCGGCATCAACACAGCGACAAGATGCAGGCGCCGCGGCAGAACGAAAACCAGAGCCGGCCGCGGTTCCGTCTGCGAGTCTCTATCAAGACGGACGATATGCGCATCTGTGGAAGAACTACAGACCACTGGCAGAGGTCGAGGAAGAGACATCAACCGATCACGATAAGCTCATGTCAGTGTTGGAGGGGTACAAGGAGCGCAAGGCGGCAATCGCCAGGGCTGGACTCGAGAACTGCGCGCCGCAGCAGGAGGAGTGGATTAACTGCATGAAGAGTGGTAGCTGGGAGGATCAGCTGCAGATGTGCCGACATCAAGTACGGCGGTTTGAGAGATGCTACACCATGCAATCTGTAGGACAGCCCCCCTCAGCACGATATAGCATACGAGGATACACTGACGGTGAAATGCCAGAGATTTCTAAGAGCGCTAGGATACGGTTCAGTGGCCGGGCGACCAGGCGAAGTCGATGAAGATATCCAACTACACGCCGACGCGCTGTTCCAAAGAATGCTCCAGCACGAGGCGGAAGTCGAAAAGGCCAAGGAAAACGGCACCCTTATCCCAACTTTCGACCCCTCGCTCCCGAAGACGACTGCCACCACCGCGAGCACCATCAAGCCGTCCGACGAGCTTCAGAAGCAGTGGAAGGAGAAGCTGGACCAGCTACCAGAAGATGAGAGAGCCGCTGAAGAAGCCGCTTTAAGAGCCGATCTGCAAGCCAAGGCCGATGTTGCGGCAAACGTGAAGAAGATTTGGGACGCCAAGAGGGAAGAGAGAGAGGTGCGGCGCGCAGAAGGTCAAGCGACATTCTCAGACACGATTGCTGCTTTGTTCAGCAGAGGGAAATGATGTTGCGGATTACGGCTGTTTATGAAGGGTTTTTCTTGCGGGGTTCTTTTTTTTTTACATATATTTGGTGTCTGCGTGTATGGACTTGTACAAGCCATCGCTCTTATTCTTTTCTTTTTTCTTTCTTCACGGGATGAATGTAAACTACGGCATCTGAAGCGTGGGTGGGATCTCATGTATCAAATCATTATAGACTATAAGGATCCCAAGGCTTGACAAATGGCAAACTGTATCATTGAATACTAATAGACTATTTCTCTTGCGAGCATCCAATGCTTCCTGCAAATGTATGTGAGCTTATGCTCTTATCCAATCTTCTGCCAAAATAGATAACTTCATGCCGGTTCTATAGTTGAGTTGCAATTTTTCCATAGGCTCACAGTCACAATTCAACCTTCAATCAAGAGAGACTCAGCATGGACATACTGATAATGTTCTGAGTGACCAAACTCTTCAACAAGAAGCATACGGTTCCGTGGTCTAGTTGGTTATGACATTTCGTTAACAGTTAGTTGACACCACCGAAAAGGTCCCCGGTTCGAGCCCGGGCGGAATCACTTCTTTTTTGCTTTTTCACTTAATTCTCATGAGAATTTCATTCTCATTTGCTGATTTTTGGAGAAATCGATTATATTGAAGACAAGAGGGATGTCAATGTGTTAATGAAGCGAGTTCTTTTTATGTGGAAGAAATCGACCCATGAATGATCCAGATACCATGAATCGAAGGAGCGAGATAGTGACTTCACACGGAATAAGATGACCATTCCATTCTACAACACTCGTTCAATAATCAATGTATAGAGCCTAACGAATCACCGTAACTATAGAAATGACCAAAGTCGAGTATCGGTGTCAGAGAACCCTACTGTGAAATTCCTCTCGGATCGAATCGGAATGGAAGGCAGATTGATAGCTGCAACCCACTGATAATTGAGTAAGAGCATTCAGATCCATGTATTACAAGGATGATATGAGTTCATTTACACACTAGATTAGCAAACACAAACACGGGGGTTGATAGTACTTCAAGGTAATCTTGTCAAGAGTCACATTTTGCCGGTGCATGACGAATTACTCAATAATATGGTGAGATTTATCGATTATATATCGACTATCCTCTCCATACTACTGGCGCGAGAGCCGTGCAGCTTTGAATCGGCTGATGGGTTCCTCATCCTCCTCGTTGCGTACGGGCTGGATAGGAGATTCATCCGGTTTGAGGAACCCACCTTCTCGCTGGATGAATTTTCTGCGCATCTGCTGATACTCATCAGCGACCTCTTGGTAGCTCATCATATCGTTGACTTCGTCAGGAGCAATGGCAGCAGCCGTCGACTCCCGTTCGACCAGTTTATCGGCTATCGTTGCGCCTTCTGGACCAGTGGGCACCGCCGGTCGATCCTCGTCGATAAAGTTCGGCCGGATATCTAGAGGTCCCTTGGGAACAAGACTTGCTGAATCGGCGTTATCTCTATTCTTTTTGAATCGTGATGCTTTCTTCGCTGGTTGGGCTTCAGTTTGAATCGGCTTTGAAGAGCTGCTCCGCTCTACGATGAGGTCGCTTAGAGGCTCGACGATATCCTTCTTCTTCGTTTCGCTGACGACAGGAGCAGAAGGTTTGTTCTCAGGAGCGATATCAAGGCTAGCCGCAAAACGCACGCCCTTCTTTGCTTCAGGCTCGTCATTTTGCTTCTCCTTAAGATTTGATTTGAGAGGGGCAGCTTTTGGAGCTGTGGATGGTGATGATGATGGTGCTGCAACTCCTCGATTGACAACGATATGGCCAATGCCTTCATCATTATCATCATCGCTTGCGTCCTCCTCGTCGACTTTGGGCCGAGATTTAGAGGAATGTGACTTGATTCCAAGCTTCTTTTCTAGTTGCAGCATTCGCTGACGATACTGATCTGTGACAACGCTTCCTTTATAGCGTCCGTATTGATCTTCATCGTCCTCTTCATCAAAGTCGTCATATTCATCGTCAAAGTCCTCGTCGTCCTCGGACTCTTCCTCTGAATCGCCTTCCTCGAGCTCAAGTTCGGCAACAACGGCGCCAACTTCGCTCATGCCATACCTCAGCATCTGCTGCCGTAAAGCTGCATCTTCTGGTGTTTCGTCCTTGGGTATAACAGCAGCCTGCATACTAATATCCTCTTGGTCTTTAGCGGCGCCCATGATCTCCTTGACACGCTTTGCTCTCCATGATATCTCAGGCTCCGATTCCTCAGCAGGCTTTGTATCTTCTGAGAACGAGACAGTTTTCTTCACCTCAAGCTTAGGTGAAGGCGGTTTAGCCACGGATTCAAGATCCCGTTCTTTGCCTTTGGGAGATTTTCTCTTATCCGCAGTCTTACTTGAGATTAAATCCTCCTTTTCAGGCTTAGATTCTGTATCATCCGTAATCCCGGCTTTTTCAAGGAGCGCTTCAACGTTTCCCAGAGAATCGCCAGGCTTATTCAGCCGAAATGAGACGACATTGTCATCGTCATCCAGTTCTTCGACAATGTCCATGATAGGTTGGCCATCTTCATCAGTGGCATCGGGTTGGCTGATGACAGTTGCAGCAGCATACTTATTCTCGGCTGTTTCGAGTTGCTTCTGCAGCGTCGAAATATTCTGAGACACATAGTCAATGCGTCGCTCCAGGACGTTGATGATCTGTTCTTTGGTTTTCAGCTTTGGCTGGCCAATGATGTCGTCGATTTCCTTCCCATTCAGTAATTCGCCATCAAACTCGCCATGTATCCGGCGCAGCTCTTCAGCTTGGTCTGCGGCCGTCACGGCCTCGACCTCTTCCTTGAGAGCCTCATATTCGGCATCCCAAGTTTGCCAGTGCTGCAGAGCTTTCCGCAGTTTGTTGACATTATCTTCAAGCCGTAGACGGTGCTTTTCGAGGTCAAGCAAACTGTCTCTAGCATCCGACATGTCGTGCAAAATGAGGCCAACGGCACCAGCAAGCTATAGACAGCGGGTAGAAAATTTGATAGAGAGCTTGAGTCAAGTATGGGAAGTTTTGGCACGATCGGAATAACGTCGGCTATTATCAACCTCCATACTGACGGTGCGAGTAATCTAAGATTTAGCTTGGCTCCGCGTAATCCAATCTCCGATGCTTAATCAGCTCGCAACGAGAGATGACGTTGAGAACATCTCCGCCAAAAGAAAGAAAAGTTTCAGCTCATGTCGAGCCAAAAGTGACGCTTGAGAAGAAAGCCGGGAAAGGGCAATTTCAGTCAGCATGTCGGATAAATATTGCCTAAACAGGAAAGCGACTTCCGTTCATGGAGGGGATAAGCTTGAGTCATTCGGAGCAACTATTCAGGCCAGCTTATCTGCAACTTGCCTGCTGATCCCCCAGTACAGCAGATGTTAAAACAGTTTAACGCAGATCGCAAAAAACACTCAAAGAAGATGGATATCCGAATGGAGGAGCGTGAACAAATGTGAATATCACTCAACCCCCACTTAGGCAAGCCCGTCGGCCTTTAGATCGTGGAGATATAAGCGCGAAGCATGGCCACTAAATCAAGACAATTAGTTGCTAAACAAGTTGACTATTTCACAACCATTCTATAACTCTTTATACAATGGCAAACTCTAGCATTGAGACCAAAACTCTCGAGGCCAAGTGTCTCTGTGGCTCCGTCCACTTCACTGTTGACATTCCTACGGCATCTCTTCCTCTTTCTCTTTACCTCTGCCATTGTAGCCTCTGTCGTTTCACCACTGGGGCGCCATGCATCTTTCACGCCTCGTTGGGAGAAGGAATCAAGCCCAACTTCATAGCGCCTTCAAGTGAGAAGAGCTTAACCACATATTCCATCAAGGGAGCCGATTGCACGTATGACTTTTGCTCGACTTGCGGATGTCACATTGCAGGTGTTGCACTTGATAGAGGAGAGTGGACAGTCGCCACATCAATCTTCACAGACCATGGGCCAGACAACTTTAAGCTCACGAGCCACACATTCAGTGAATCGGCCAAGGATAAAGGCCTTGCTCAAATCCTGACACACTTGGGCGACAAAAAGCTGCCAGATTGGAATCCTCCAAAAGATGATCCTCGAGCCAAGATTGTTGAAGCAAAGCCAGAAGTAGGCGAGGACGGACAAGATCGGCTCCGAGCCGAGTGTCACTGCGGAGGTGTTTCTTTCACAATCAAGCGTCCTACACAAGAGGTCCTTGATCATGAGATTGTCCGCGGCTGCGTGTCTCCCGTCGATCCAACCAAATGGATAGCCTCGTTTGACATGTGCAGCGACTGCCGTCTCTCAAACGGAACTCACCTTGTTGGCTGGGCGTTTCTGCCTCTCAGCCACTGCGAGCCCAAGATCAATAGCGATCTCAAGTTTGGAACCGCAAAGGTCTATGAGTCATCACCAGGTGTCCAGCGATGCTTCTGCGGCACTTGCGGTGCAACAATCTTTTACGGAAACGACCCGCGTAAGCTCGAAGGCCCAGGAAAGTGGCAGATTATGGACCTTGCAACGGGCATCCTTCGAGCGCCAGAGGGAGCCATGGCTGAAAACTGGCTAACCTGGAGGTCGAATTTGGCTTGGACGGATAGTGGCAAAAGGTTTGATACGGCGTTTACCGATGGATTGGAGAAAGGGATGAAGAATTATGTTGTTAAGGCGAGTGGGAAAGACGTGAGCCTCTCAATTGATTTCTAATCTTGTTGAGGCTGGCCTCAATGGTGTTATGATAGGATTGGTGCATTCAACCTTTTGAAACTGCTGCTATTGGTAGGAGATACGACGTAACGAATTCAACATTAGTATTTGAATAGGTATTGACATTGCTGGACATGTCTCAAAGCTAGAATATAAATTTCAAAAAAGTAATTTCCAGAATCTCGAAATTACTTTTGGAACAACGCAACAAGTCGTTGCGCTGTTAGATGTGAGATCGACACTCGAATTTGGTGATGCCGATAATATCCGGAGAAAAGACGCTACGATAAGAATCAAATGGGACCGTCGCATTTCTTAGAATAATCGATTCAACGAGTCATTCTCCCATCCATTTAAAAACATCTGTCAAAAAGAAACCCTCAAACATATAAAATCAAATTACCAAAGCCAGACCGACTTAATCGCCGAAACACATCTGACAACCTTGCAGCTCACCTAAAGCCGAACGAATCACCTCTACTTTCTTTTTTTTTCTTCCTCGTCCTTATCTTAAAAAGCTAGAGCCGATTCCGGCGATTTTTCTCACTCGCAGTGGGGGAGGGGCGCCGGCGTCCCTATATCAGTGTCAATCTTACCTACGCAGCCAACCCTTCAGTTAAAATAGGAACATTGGACTCAAACCGATGCGTTATGCATCGACGCGGCCAACGACTCTCCTGCGCAAATTCATAGCCGTACGCCTTCAGGCGCGAAGCATGGCGTCTACAAGCAGGACTTACAATGTATGTTGTGCGCTTCGGCTATGGCGTCACTGGGAATGAGATTCTAAGCGTATATTTTTATGTCGACAGGATGCGATTGACAAGCTCAACGAGCTGCAGACGCCGTTCGCGGTGATTGAGGCCCGTCGCAAGGCCGGAATTCTGCCTGATTCTGTGCTTGGCATCGCCAAGATGAGGGCATATCTCACAAGGATCGGATACACAGTCTGTAGTCCCTCACATCTCATTCGTTCATTCAAGCATCTCCAACTAACTCTCACTTGGGCAGCCTGCGGATCTTGATCGTCTCAACATCGTTCATGTTGCAGGCACAAAAGGAAAAGGCAGCACCTGCGCCTTTGTCGATTCCATCTTCTCGCAGTACCAACAGCACCATGGCGGCCCTCGTAAGACGGGACTCTTCACATCACCTCATCTCATGGCCGTACGCGAACGCATCCGCATAGACTCTAAGCCCATATCCGAGGAGCTGTTTGCAAAGTACTTTTTCGAAGTATGGGACCGACTCGAGGAATCGCGAGAGGCCCCCGAAGAGGACACGCCTTTTGGATCAAAACCCGTGTATGCTCGCTATCTTACGCTCGTGAGCTGGCACGCATTCTTGCAAGAGGGCGTCGAGGTGGCCGTGTATGAAACTGGAATAGGCGGCGAGTACGACTCAACGAACCTGGTGTCAAGCCCGGTAGCATCAGGCATCAGCACCCTTGGAATCGACCACGTCGCTATCCTGGGAGACACGGTTGAGAAGATTGCCTGGCATAAAGCTGGTATCATGAAGACGGGCAGCCCGGCTTTTACGATTGAGCAGCTCCCCGGAGCAGCAGAAGTCCTGATGAACCGAGCGAAAGAAAAAGACGTCAACCTAAAGGCTTTGAAAATCGACCCTCGCCTGGATGGCGTCAAAATCAGACCAAACGCAGTATTTCAAAAGAAGAATGCAACATTGGCAATCGCACTGGCAGAGACCGTTTTAACGAAGCTGGGTCTTTTGAAAGAAGTTTCCGAGTCAAAGCTCCCCCAGGAATTCATCGACGGTTTGGAGAAGTGCGTCTTCAGGGGCCGATGCGAAGTCAAGGAAGAGAAGAACGTGACCTGGCACCTCGACGGCGCCCACACCGCAGACAGCTTGAAAATGTCATCCAAGTGGTTCGCCAGCGAAATCACCGGCCGGTAAGAAATGCACTCTAGGCTTCCTTATTAAATAGAGGGGAGAACTTTTCTTTGATGGGAATTGTATTACTCACACGTCTAGCAGAACCGGCCCCAGAGTCATGATCTTCAACCAACAAGGCCGCATCGAAGCAATCGACTTCCTACAGCCCATCAGCACCACCCTAAAGAGCATCAACAAGGACCAGGAGGACCGCCCGGCCTTTGACCACGTCGTCTTCTGCACAAACGTCACGTACTCCCAGACGGGCTACAAGCGCGACTTTGTCAACAACACCATCGACCCCGCGGAAATCGACAAGCTCACCGTCCAGAAGGCTTTTGCGGAGAAGTGGGCCGCGATAGACCCCAAGTCAAAGGTTGTCGTTTTGCCGACCATTGAGGATGCCTTGAATTATGCGAGAGGTGTGGCGGGGGGGTTGCCGGAGGGAGAGGTGGTTCAGGCGTATGTTACGGGGAGTTTGCATTTGGTGGGCGGTGCGTTGGGGATTCTTGAGGAGACGGATGCTTTGTGAGGGACGTTGCGAAGGCAACATTGGATGAAGGAAAGGGGGGGAATGGTAATGGTAATTCAACAAAACTTGGGCATAGAGCGATGATGGGATAACGGTAATTCAACAAAACTTGGGTATAGATCAATATTTTTAGACTTGCGGACACCAAAAAAAAACATACATTGGAGTGCTTTTTATCCTTTCACGGCTCCAAAACTTGCAATATGCTTCCTACAAGATGCAAACTGCCCGTCACCAAGACTTTCTTCCTCGACTCATCCTGTCCTTGTGCAAGCCTCCTAGCCTCTGCCACTGCGTCAAGAGTGTTGTCAAATATCTTGACATCACACCCAGGTATCAAACTGCGCATCTTGTTCGCCGCCTGCTCCTGTACAATCACATCCCTCTCCTCCCCATCAGCCGGTTTCGCAAGTTCGTTCCGTGTAAACAATGCATATCGAAACACATCTTCTCTGCCCGCTTCTCTCTTGACCGTCTCCACGAAATCCCCCAAAAGCTGCGTAATGTTTCTCTCCTGCTGGTTGAATATCAATATCAAGGATTCGTCAGAACCCAAATGATTCTGAACAGACCACTTGACCACCTCTTCCAAGCTATCCTTGGTATGCGCCCCGTCCAAGAGCCACTCAGCCGCCCCGTCATTGACAACCTCGCACCTCCCCCTAAGTTTCGCTTCCTGCAAACCCTCAATCATCTTCTGCGGAATATCCTCCAGCCTGTCTTGCCCCATGCCGAGATGCTCTCGCACTGCCATGACAGCGAGTGCCTGGTTCCTCTTCTGGAAATCTCCCTTCAATATCCCACTCACACCACCCCATCGTTCAACAACATCTTCTTCAACCTCTACCAGCTCCGCATTCTTCTCAGCTGCTCTTTTGCGCAGCACATCCATTACGCCCGGCTGATCCCGCAGCTTCATAGTAAACCCCTTGACCCCGGGCTTCAATATCCCAGCCTTGTGCCATGTAATCTTCTCCACTGTGTCTCCCAACATGGCCACATGGTCTATCCCCAGCTGCGTCACAACCGCAGCCGAAACAGCCTCCGCAGGCAACACATTCGTGGAATCATACTCACCTCCAATGCCGCATTCAATAACCACATCCTCAATACCCTGTTTCAAGAAAATATGCCACGCAAGAATCGTCAAAAACCGAAAGTAAAACGGCTTCGACGCCGCCCCCTCCGCCTCAACAGCCGCCATGCCGTCCTTCACAGCAGCCTCCGTAAGTCGATCCCAAATCTCGAAAAAGGCAGCAGTAAACACATCTCGAGAGACGGGAACGCCATTAATGCCAATGCGCTCTCTAACATTAACAAGATGCGGACTCGTGTACGTCCCCACAGTCCGATACTTTGCCAACATAGCCGTCGCATAAGCACAAGTAGAGCCCTTCCCCTTTGTCCCAGCAACGTGGATATGTCTCATGCGAGCGAGATCCTGCGGCGTGTAGCCGGCACGGCGGAGCCATGCTGTCATCTCCGGGATGGCGGCCGCATTGAGATCCTGCGGCGTCTTTTTCTCCGGCGCCTCAAAGAGACTTGTGATGATGCGGTTGGACTGCAGAAGGGCGAGCTTCTCGAGGGCTTCGTTGTAGTCTCGAGCCATTGTGCCGAAGGGCTGGGTTGATGCTCTGAAGGGGCGATTTATAGGTGATTGGATTAGTGAAGCCACTGGGAAGCGTGCTTTGAGAGCAAACCTGGTGCTCATATTCCAGGTACGCAAAGGATAGACGAAGAGACTGGGGACAAAGCGTTACATCATCTCATGTTCTCTGCATTGAGGCCATTGATACCGGGAGAGGTTTGAAGGCTGATGTAATGATGAAGTTGTGTTGTATCGATCTCAGTTGGCTGGCAGATGGATAAGAGATACAGCAGCCACATGGTGGGGCAGAATGCTACTGAGAAAAATCGCATTGAATGTGTAGAATTTGTATCAGCTTGGGTAGGCCATAGTATTACTTTTGAACTTGCAGATAAAAACAACACGAATCACATGGAAAGTTTCTATAATATAACATGAAATCACATTTTAAAACTTATACTTGTATCTATCGATAAACTATACACGGGCCGGAAGCCCCCTACTTTTCTTTTCCCTCTCTGATCAATATACAGAACCAAGAAATCCTCAATAATTTTTTAATCCACCCTCAAGCTCTGTAGTCGAGCCTCTGCAGCAATGACCTGTTCAAGCGATGTTAGCGATAAATTCTCTCACATATATTCGTTAGAATCAAAGAACGGGGGACCATCGTAAATACTCACATCAAGTGCCTGCTGAACCTCAAGAACCTTACGGGCCTCGGACAGCCAATCCTTACTCAACGTCTTTGCCCAACCCTGCAGGCCAGTCATCTCTCTGGTTGCAGCATCCAGGTCGCCCTCCTCTAGGTATGTCTGTGTACGGGTCAGGATGCTCTCGACGTCGTCTCCTTCAGCGAGACCCTGCTTCTTGAACATGACGTGGCTGAGAACCCAGCTGGAAGCGTGGCTAGCAACACCTGCATCATCGGGAAGCAGAGAGGCTTTCCGGACCTCGCTGGCGACACGGCGGAATCGGTCAATCAGCTGAGATGAGGTGGAGATGCCGCGCTGGTACGCCGAAGGGGTGATTGAGGCAATGGCAGCATCAACGACGGCGTCATCAGAGGCAATCTCCTTGAGCGCAACAAGCTCTCGGATGAATGGTCGGGGGTGTTGGCCATCCTCGAGGCTGGCGCGGACAGCCTCAACGGCTACGTGAA